GTAGGGATCCGAGGGCACGCCGACGGGGGATGCGAGAATGAGCTTCTTGAGGTGGCCGGGATATTTCAGGGCATACGCCACGGAAAGGTAGCCGCCCAGGGAGTGACCGATGAGGGTAAACTTGTCGATATTCCTGGCTTTCCTCCACTCCTCCAGTGCATCGACGAACCAGGCCTCCGCCTCGTCAATCTTGCCCTGCTTATCTTTGGCGTGCATCTTGAAGGGCGGCCTGGTCGAGTTACCCATGCCGAGCATATCTAGCGCGTACAGTTTCCAGCCTTTGCGTCGTGACAGGGGCTCAAAGTTCTTGTAGTAGAAACCCAGTCCGGCGCCGTAGCCATGCAGCATGACGAGGTTCTCCTCGACCTTTTCACCAACGCGCTCGACGGAGTATTCGTTGAGGGCGCGGTTCTGACCCGAGAGGCTCACCATCTGGGTCTTCCAGACGCGGGGTCCGAAAGGGTCGGACTGATCGGCCGGGTCGATGGTGGCATGTTCGCGGGCGTCCTTGAGGTAAGGGATGTGGGCAAGGACGTTCCGTTCGGCGGTCGAGGGACTGATGCTGGACCACTGCAACATTGTTAGAAACCGTTTGATGCCGGCGTTCACAAACAGCTCGCTGTGCCGTGGCGCAATACTGGTGGCGATCAACTTACCCATTGGTAGGCAGCTTCTTTGTAGCCCAGAGGAAAGTAGGCAAAGTTGGGACGCGACGGCTTGGCCTTGTCGTCGACCGTCTTCTGCTGTGCCGTTGCCATTGTCTGGTGGGTTCTCCTCTGAACCTTTCTCTGTTGTGCGAGTTCGTCGGCGGTGGGGGCGCGAATAGTTGAGGTACTAGTAGTTGTCGTTCCGACGATGGACGAGGCGGCAGCGAAAGTGAGTCGCGACCCGTGCACGACGGCAGATGCTGAATGATGCTGTATCATACCGGGTGGCGAGCGAGGCGGGAGGGCGCAATGGGGTACTTGTAGGTGAGGAAGAGCGGGTTTCGACTCGGAGACGGGGGCTGCGGACAAAACGCGGGACCAGGCTTGATGGTCGTGCCAGACCGATATGCGACAGAATGCGCGAGACAGAGACAGGCAGCACGACAATGCGCTCAGTAAGCACTGGCACGAATGCGGATGCGACGAATGGGATGGCAGGTTGGGCCCAGTAGAACCCTGCCAACGAGGGCGTTTGACTCTCGCACTCGGATTTAGATAGCAATGGTGACGCACTGGATTGCTTCCTGGGGGGCCCGGGATATGCGACTTGGGGTGGCTCTGACGATCTGGGTGGATGGACTTAAGCAACCGGAGTTTGGGGGGGCGCGTGTCCGGGTTGGGCGGGCTATTGAGATGGTCCGTATCAGTCTTGTGTACAAGGGGGAAAAGTAGCCGAATGCTGCGGAGTTTGCGGTTGGGTTGCCGGAGATGGCTTGCTCAAAGGGAGGTTGTATGTATAGGAACACAGAGTGTAAAGAAAGTCAACGTCGAACGCAGAAAGTATCGAGTCGCGAAAGATAGAGGAGGAGAAAACACAAAAGCCAGGTTGCCATTGGGACATGGGGAGGCGAGGCAACCACGCGCACTTACACGGTTTTCGGCTATGTTGAGCTTTCGTTGAGGATAGCGGTCAGATGCGCAGATTTACAGGGGGGTTAGAGGGGCAAGAGCGGCTAATGCGGGCCAGACACGGCCCCATAATACAATACCTGCTGTATGTGGCTGCCTGTACCTGGAGCGCTCTTTCCCTCTCGACGATATTGCCCCGATAGTTGCTTCCTCTGGTTTATCGGCTAGCGCTCCTGCCAAAGTCAATCCAGGCCACAGCATCGGGAAGGATCGCCCAACATGACGCAGGTGGGTGGTAGGCAGTAGGCAGCGGACAGGCAACTCCAACCAGCACCTGTGACCAGCTGGCCGAGCAAAATCCAGCGAGACAAGGCAGGCTCCCGCGGCCCTGGAGCTAGCTTCCCAGCTGACTGACATCTGATCCTGGATCCAACCCAACCCACCTTCCACCACCTCCAAACTCCAACACCAACACCAGACATCCGCATTCATCAACGTCACAGAATTAACGCCCCCAGATGCCTCGATCGAGCCGTAGCTGATCCAATGCCGAGTGTCAGCTCACTGCATTGAAAGAATATAGCTCGCCTGCCAATTTCGGCTCGACGGTGGTCGTCCCGAGACCGCCCCCACAATCTCCATTTCTCTCCCTCTCGACAAGTCCTCGAGAAGCCCCGGCACACATCTTCACATGGCCGACGACGTCGACTCGGTTGTTAAGGGAGCCCCTGCGCCCGGAAAGCATGCATCCGATAATGTCGGGGGCACGAGCGGTGTCACGACCAACACTGGCAAGCACGGCGACCCACTGAGCCACACCCCGAGCTCCCCCTCCATGATCTACCTCAACCTCCTGGTCCTCGAAGCTTCTCTGCGCGCCCAGTACCTCGAACTGCGTGCTCGACGCCGCCACCATACCTTCTTCTTTGCCATACTGTCCCTGTGGATCGGCGGATTCGGCTATGCCCTGTTCTTTGCGCCACGCGAGGACGGTGTTGGCGTAGGAGGGTCTGTCTACTGGGGTGTTGAGACGATTGAGAAGCTCTGCTTTATGGGAGGCATCATGACCGCTATTCTGGTCTGGGCCACCGGCATCTGGGATCGCGGCATCCGCTGGCCCAGACGCTGGTTCGCCATTTCTAACCGTGGCCTGCGCGGCTTCAATGCGAAGCTCGTCATCATACGACGGCCTCTGTGGGCCGAAGTTGGCTCTACTGTCGGCTTCTTCCTGACCTATGGTCTTTTCTCCCACACGGCCAGTTCATCTTATCGCTACATTGATCCATCAATTCTGCGTGCCGTCGAGAAGGAGCTTCGCCTCACGACCGAGAAGCATCCCGCCCTGCCCATCCTTACCGAAGACGAGGAGAAAGGCGGCCACGAAGAAGATCTTGCCCCAGGAGGCGACTACGTCAAGCTGTTGCTGCTAGCCAAACCTTTCACGCCAACATTCCGAGAGAACTGGGAGCTGTACCGCACCGAATACTGGGAAAAGGAGAACGAGCGCCGCGCCCTCATCCTGAAGAAACTGAAGGAGCATGAGCGACGACTGGCCAAGGAGACCTGGGGCATATTTTGGTGGTTGCCTTGGCATCGTATGGAAACCGGACGCCCACGCTCCTCGACAATACTTCAAAGCCGGAATCGCGATCAGGATCATGACCCCGAGAAGCTCCATCCTCGAACTGCAGCCCTCGAGAAGCAGCACCGGCGCCGCGGTAGTAGCGTACGCCGGCGCAGCTCGACCAGCTCTTCTCGCAGCCCTCTGCCGGCCGATGGCGAGGATGCACCCGTCAGTCGCAAAGCCAGCACGGCCTCTAATGCTTCGGATAAGAAGAGACGGAACAAGCTTTCGACGAGCTCCAAGCCCAAGCGACCCAACGTGGAATCGAGGTCGGTGACACCGGACATTCCATCACCCCTAGCACGGGAGAGCAGCGTTGCTAGCGACGTGACATCATCGGATGTGGGAGGAGAGCGGATGCTGCGAAGCTCGTCGTCCAAGTCCAGCGTGGGCACGGGCCGGGATTCCAAATTGAGCGAAGCGTGATGAATGACAATTGACGAGTCTCCAAGAGACGATTTTACGAAGCTTTATTCCCTCCATGCGTGTCGAAAGTCTTCCCAACTCTGATGAATCCAAAACGAGAAGCGCTTCTACCAGCTGGGCCTGAGAGACATCAAGCTGATGGCGTTACTGCCACGTTTTCTCCACTTGCCGCCGTGCTAGTCAGGTACCGTGGCGCTGCGTCACGAATCTCGGTATCGGATCATACTTTGTGGGTTGCCCGTAATCCCCAAGACGCTCGGCAGCAGGCGCCGAGCCCGACACACTGGGTCTCGCGGCCTGGCGACCCTCAAGCTCTCAGCTTGCGCTACTCGTGACGCGTCACCAACATCCCATTCAACCCATTTGAGGTGAGCCTTCTCATACAGCAGTGTTGCCAGAAACATGGCTCGCTGCCAAGCCAGTGAAGTCCCTCCAAATTCGATCCCCGTTACTGCTAGTTCCCATTCAGTCCACAATCGGCAACCCCGGCCTGCAGCCCAGCCAGGTAGTTGGTCAATCTATGTATGGGAACCCTGCTTTGACATCATTGGGGTCTGTAGTCATTGCGCGTCTCCCCCGCCTCACGCGTCAAGCCTCATGCCGTCGGGGACAAGGTGGTCTGCGAAGAAAGCCAGGCGCGGTTTGCCAAGATGGCGATGCCTGCTGTTCCTCTTATACCACGCCCTTGCCCTTGCCATTCCCGTTCCCAATGACTGTGCTGTATTAACCTGGAAATTGCCCTCATTCGTATGCACGACTCTTCGTGGCCCAGACATACAAACGCCCTTGCTTCCTCGATTGGAGCATCAATAGCAAGCAGAACTTTGGGATAGCATGCCGGCGGCCGTTTCACAGGAAGCGGGCATCAGTGATGAGCTGGTGAAGCACTGCACGGCGCCTGACAGTGTCACAACGCTGCTGGCCGAGGACCCCGCGCTAACGCCAGGTGATGCATGGAAAAGGCTGTACGGGGGCAAGGCAAAGCGGCGTGAGCAGAAGGAAATTGAGGTCGACGGAGCGGTGCCGGCGTTGGATGAGTTGACTGGCCTGGAGCGCTTCGCGGCTTGTGGAAAATGGGGGGACGCAAAGCCGAGCGAGCTGTTCCTGAGGGTATGTTACCACACTGGCCTCCAAATTACGTTGATGGGCTTACACGTCTGACCGAGTACATTAGATGTATGGTGCAGCCCTTGAATCGATTGATGGCGATCTTGAGCAGGCTGTTGTGAGCCCGTCGCTCATGGGAAGCTGCGGCACGGTGCCCCTGACTATCATCTCGACGTAGGCTCCCCCTCTCTGCCTGAGTTGCGGTTCACGCGTACGCTTACCACGATGATAGTATACCAGACATCGCCCGCCACATGTCGAACCTCATTGTGCGCGCAGAAAAGGAGGTCTTCCTCGCAACAAACTACTGGATCAGCAGCGTCGCTGTGACCTTCATCACCAACGCCATCCGCGAGCTTGACCGTTGTGCCGGCGCCCGCGGCGTCAAGGTCGTTGTCAAGATCATTTACGACCGTGGCGCCGTCAAGCAGGTATACACACCGCACTACGACGTGGGCGAGAAGGAGTTCACTGATCCGCAGGTGGCGCTGCCGCGGCGCGCGGACATCCCCAACATTGACCTGCAGGTTCTCAACTATCACAAGCCCATGCTTGGGACCTTTCACTCCAAGTTCATGATCGTGGACCGAAGAATCGGACTGGTGCAGAGCAACAACATCCAGGACAACGCCAACCTGGAAATGGCGATACAGGTCGAGGGGCCTCTTGTCGATTCGTTGTACGACATGGCGCTCATCACGTGGGATATGAATCTTGGCCAGGGAATGCCGATGATCAAATCGGCAGCGGCGGCAGATGAGAACAACATGCCCAGCTGGACGGAGGAGTGGGATGAGCAGTTCACGGACGAGGGCAGATTGAGGGGATTCGACGCTGTCGTCGACCCGGCGAAGATGATTTGGAAGCAGCAGTTTGGGAAGCCGGACGACTTGATGAACGAAGGGCAGACGAATGGACACTCCGTGAATGGCCTCGATGGTTCTCGAAACGGCCTCAGCCCTAGGCTCTCCAACAAGCTCTCCGACGGCTCCTCGGCCGCCTTGACCGATGACAGTTCACAGCCCAGGACCCCAGAACAGAAGAATCACGACCTCCCTGAACACACTCACGACTCACCTCACTATGACAACTCTCTACCCGCCGAAATCGTCCGCCTCCAAACGTCTCTTCGGCCCTCTCCCTCCGAGGACATCTACGCCCCGATCACTCGGCACCTGAACCACACCAACGCCGCCGCCTACACCGTCCCACCTCGCCTCCATCCCGCACGCTTCCCTCCCTCCGAGCAGCCGACCCCCTACACCCCCCATCCTCGCCACTCGCCCGTGCCCATGGCCCTTGTCAACCGGCCGCCCCACGGCTCGCCAGACTCGAGCTCACTCTCGAACCCGCAAAACGCCGCCTGGCTCGCAGCCCTCGCACACGCCCGCTCCTCCGTCTTCATCCAGTCCCCAACCCTCAACGCCTCCCCCCTGCTCCCGGCCCTCCTCGCCGCCTGCGAGCGCGGCGTCCACGTCCACGCCTACATCTGCCTCGGCTACAACGACGCCGGCGAGCTCCTGCCCCTGCAGGGCGGCCACAACGAGGCCGCCGCCCACCGCCTGCACGCCCAGCTGTCCGACGACGCGCGGCCGCGGCTGCACTACCACTGGTACGTCGCCAGGGACCACGCCGCGCCGGTGCCGCACGGCCTCGGCGCGCGGGCCTGCCACATCAAGCTCCTCATCGCCGACGAGCGCGTCGGCGTCGTCGGCAGCGGGAACCAGGATACGCAGAGCTGGGCGCACAGCCAGGAGGTCAACGTCATGGTCGACTCGCCCGACATTTGCCGCTCGTGGATCGATGCTCTGAGGCGGAACCAGAACACGGCCTTGTTCGGCCGGCTGCAGAGCGATGGCGTTTGGCGGGACGACAGGGGGGACGAGGTCGAGGGCGCCATGGGCGTGGATGCTGGACGGTTCGCGTGGGCCAAGGGCATCATGGGCGCTGTCAAGAGGGTACAGGGGAAGGGAGGATTCGGTTAACGTGTGTGTTGGTCTGAGACTGAGCACGTCTTCACAAGCCTTCACCGCCAAGATTGCAAAGGTTGTCATGTCAAGGGGACCAGATGGAACGCAGAGTCTGAGGAGTCATCCCTATTTGCTGCGAGCAGTCGTCGGCACGCTCGCTAATAATGTACACCTAGCCAAGCCAAGTCTGGTGAAGTAACAACAAGGAAAGGAAAGAAGTTTAAAAACAGACAAGCAAAATGAACAAGAGCCGCTGGCTAGAGCGACATGTGCTGTGGTCGGTGTCATACCATGTCCTGTCGGGTCGTACCAGTCCCATGCTGCCGCCCTCTCCTCCCCCTACCTCGCATGCAACTCTAGTGCTGCTATCTTTTCTTGTCTTCCAAGGGTATCTCCTCGCCGGTTCTCTGCTTCCCAACAACGCCCTTGAGCACCTGGAGCTTTTCCTCTGTCACACGGATCGCCTCCTGGATCTCGCGTTCGTCCATGCGCTCCTCACGTATCTTTTCCTCCACTGTCCGCGGCTCGATCGCCCGCTTGCGCGTCGGCATTGACCCGTCATGCAATCGCTCGAGCCCTACGCGTTCTTCGAGCCAGTCCCACAACTCTGTCTCTTCCCGGCGCCATATTTCCTCGTACGCGGCCGCCCTGTCAGGATATCCGTAGAACCCGACTTCGCGCCGCGCGCCCTGGCCAGGGAATCCGAACCATGCCGCCACAAGCAGGCCGACGAGGAGACCGTACGTCACATTGCCCGTCATGAGTGGCTTCAGCAAGTCGGTGATCGGACCTAGTATGGGGCGCAGCGGCTCCAGCATTCCCCAGGTCTCGGGGGGTGCGCTCTTGGCATGGCTCTTGTCCTCGCCCCCTGCACCCGACTGTAGGTTGCGGTTCTTGCGGCCCTTCTTCTTCTTCCCGGAGCCTATGTTGCCGGTCCCGGATCGCGGCCTCGAGGACACGGCAGCCTTGATGCTCGCCAAGAGGTCGCTGACATAGGTTGTTTGGCCCTCATTGGCGCCGCTCGTGATGGGGCCTACGCCTGTTAAGTATTATTCAATTGGCAGCTTATGGAACAACATACCTTTGAGCCAACTCTTGCCGGTCCACTCCAGGGTGCAGTTGACCTGGACCCTGGTTGAGTTGTTCTCGGCCCAAGACAGGCAGTACTTCGTCTTGACAATGAAGGCATTTCCACTGGGCACATCCGGGGTTTGGGTCGAGCAGGTAATGTTGACTGCTTTTTCCAAATCAATGTGGTCAATCGACTCGGACACGATGCACTTGGTCTTGCTCGGGCCGATGGAGCCGCCAAGTGGCTTCATGTAGGAGTAGGTCCGCGTCATGTTGTCCGAGCTCAACCCCTTTCTGTCCTCCATTTGGAGATCCCAACACTTGGCCTCGTTGACAAGCCACTTGGACATGAAAGTGACTGACGCAGGCCCAAACAAAAGATTGTACACTTTGCCCAGAGGGGCGGGAACAACGTCGTCTCCCACGATCTTTTCGTAGTGAGATGCCGCGTCACCGCACTCGGTAGGGGCATGGGTCGCAGGACCCGGGAAGTCGTCGGCGGGAATGGGTGGACCGACAGTATTGACGAGATCGGAAGGTGCGCCGTTAAGCACCGTCGCACCAGAGGCCTTCCGTCCAATGACCTTATCGTGGTCCGACTCGGCTCCAGGTTCTTGGGGCTGCGATGGCTCGACCATGTCCTCTTCATCATCTTCATCGTAGATGTCATCACCATCTTCGCTCTCGTCATCCGAACCAGACATGCTCTGGTCGTCCAACTGGTCGTGAGCCCCCTCGATTTGGGAACCCTCATCGCCAACATCAACCTTTTCCGTTTTGTCGCCTCCCGTCCCCTCGAGCTGCACTCCGTTCAGTGAACTCCTGAGTGTAGGATGCCCCAGTTTCCAAATGTTGACGATGAGATCGTAGGTTGAGTCTCTGCTGGTGAAGCTTGCGAAAATGTGCTTGGCGTGTAATGTCGAGATCATGAGTCCATTCTTGAAAACGAGCGCCGTGCTTCTCTTCTCGACGGACACTATCTCGTCGAAGCTCATAACCAGAGTAGTCGACCAGCCCAGGATGTTGCTGCTGAAGCAGAGGTGCCCTTCGGACACGTATAGACGGCCGTGAGCCAGAATCTCCCGCTGCAGCGCACAGCTATAATCTTCGATGAGATAGTCGTCGTCTGGCACGCTCTTGAACAGCGCATGGAAGTCCCTGTTTCGTTTCTTGCTCGAGACGGCGAAGCCCGTGAGCCTCTGCTGGCTGGTGTTAGCTGCCGGATTGCCGAGAGAAGAGTTGGCTGCAGCGATGGCTGCGCCGATGGTTGTCCCGGTCCCTCTTGTTGCGGTCGAGCTTCCTCGGTGGCGGCGGCGGCCCAGGGCGCTCCGGACGCTGCCGCTGCGAGTTATGGCTGACTTGTCCTCGTAGAGGCTGGCAGGCGGCGGTGTGCGGTCGCCCAGGCCTCCATTCTCATAGAGTGAGCGTGGCGCGTTGTTCTGCGCGGGGCGAGCGTCATCAGAACCGTACTCATGGCTTGCGGCCGAGGAAGTGTCAGCGGCTGGCGCTGATTCCGATCTCGCGCGGGTCTCGGATCTGACCGACTCGGGAAATTTGGCCGTCATGGGAGTGCCTGAGATGCTCGGAGGGTCGACAATGCCAAGCTGGTTCAGCGTCAACTCGCCGTCGCCGAGCGTCTTAACGGCGGGCTCCTTGTCCATGTTGGCGTTTCTGGAGGGAGAAAGCGGCGGTTCGACTTGGACTTGGTCTTCTTCCGGGAGGTCGGTCTGGTTCGCCTTCAGGTTGCTACTCTTCGGTGGCGTCTGGCCACTGGTGTTGTTTTGTAGAGTGTTACTGAACTGGTTGGCAGCGTTCTGTGCAGCTGAGAGCATAGACGAGAAGAAACCGTTCGAGTTTGACGTTGTTGTGGCTGAAGGGCTCTCGGGTGTGGGCGTCAGAGGTACAAATGTGGTGTTTGACAGTTTGCTAGGACCAGCAGAGCCCGACCTGCTCCTGCGATGTGTGATCAGATTGCCCCAAGGAGTAGGACCGTTGGAAGCATCTGCGCTCTGTTTCGTGGGCGACGGCGAGTGCTGACCGTTCTGGTTCGGGTCGGTCGGCGTAGGCGGGGTGTTGACAATGATTGGACCGGTCTTCTCGTTTGGCGGAGTAGTCGGTGCCGGTACAACGATAGAGATGCGGTTCGAGAGCGTCGAGGCGCGGGAGCGAGATTTGCGTTCGTTAGGGCGAGAGGAAGCGGCGGAAGCAGTTGTTGCTATGCTGTCGGCATCTGGCTCCGTGGGGTTGGACAGATCGGATTGCGATTGCGAGTTCAACAGGCTTGGCAGGCTCCGGTTCTTGTCGTCGTCCTCGGCAAGGCTCGCAGGCTTCCTCTCGGGACTGGTGCTGGGACTCGGGTTGGCGCTGCCACCAGGACTGGCGGCACTGCCGGCCAGGGACAAGTTGGACTTTTTGGAGCGAAAGACGTTGGCGAGCTTCTTGCCGACTGGGGAGGGCGATCGCTTGGTGTCTTTTTGGGGCGGCTGCAAGCCTAGTCCAGTCTTACTGCGAGCAGACAGACTGGATCGAGAGTCGGATTCGACCGACTCTGTGCGTTTGGAAAGGGGTGCGGTGGAGGATCGGGACGCCAGGTCGGGCACTGTCTGGTCCAGGCCCTGGGGCTCTGGAATATGGGTAGCTTGTATGATGGGGGACGATGTCGTCAGGTAGCCGATCTGGGAGGGGTGGGTTGAGATTGTTTCGGGGCGGTGCTTGAATGGCGATGGTGGTTGTGGCTGAGGGGCGATTCGAGGCGAAGCAGAAGTGGAAGCTGGCACGAATGAAGATGCTGGTGCTGGAGGTGATGCAGGTCTGCAGCAGGATGAGAAAATGCCAGGTCAGCCAAGAACGAAACGAAACGGAGGTGGTGATGGTGGGTGGGTGGGTGGTGGGTTATGGGCGATGGGGTCATGGATACAGGTAGTAGACGTCAGTGCACGCGCAGCGCAGTGCAAGGGCCACAGGGGAAATGCAGTCAGCCTGGGCTGGCTCGCGCGCACTCGCTTCCAGCACGTCTCGTCGTCTCGCTTTCCATGGTGCGTTCCAGGCATGGATGGATGCCTGCAAGGGGCACCAGCGAGGACGGGCGCCGGGATGGTCGCTGTTTGAAGAACGAGGAACCCGAGCCCATAGCTGACGGCTCGAACATCTTTTGACATGCCCACTGACGGCGGGCAGACAGAGGGGGGATCCGAAGATGAAGCAACGTGGGTAGAAGCAACTTACGAGTCATGATCTGCCCTCACACTTGCTGCACTGTTGCTATTGGGATTATTGGGATGCACATTGTTGCTGCCACTCTGATCCGCGCTGCTGAACCAGTTATGCCTTTTATCCATGGAGCTGCTGTCGCCGTCGGTGTAGTCGCTGCCCTGGTCGCCATCACCCTCTTCCAAATAGAGTGAAGACCTGGAGTCTCGGGTCGACTGGTCGGCTTGGTCATGTCCCTCTTGCTGCTGTCGTCTTTTACGTCGTCGTCGCTTGGCCACGATGGCTTTGGGAAGCAGTTTGCTTAAGCCGCCGTGGCTCGGATCAATGGGCTCCATTGGCTCGGGTTCTGTGAGCGTCCCCGTCTCTAGCGACCAAAGAGAACCCGAGGGGTACGGCAGGCGTGGTGTCGTTACGGATTATACGAGACCGGATTCGGGTTGAGCGACGTCGCAGATGCCAACGAAAGCTTGTCGTTCTTCAGGGGTGCGGCGGTACGGTACCTTGGAGTGAAGCAATGTGATGCGCAGCTGAATCTTAAAATCCCTCGACTCGGGGTATTTGGACAAAACTGCTTTCCTATTCTTCTCTGAGAATCGTGACCGCGTGCACCACGTCTTTCCTTCCTTCGTGCCCTTGCTGCTGGCTGCCCTTGCTGCGCGCTGCCTTCGTTCCTTCCCGCTTCCAGATGCCAATGCAGGCCTGGAGACAGAAGGAGCGTCATCATCGCCCCAAACTGGGCAGTGGCTGCGGAGCTTCTGCTCCACATTCGCATGCCGTTGGAAGGCGCTACCCCATGAAGAGTGACACATGTACCACAAAGTCCAGCGACGCCACGAGGTGCCCAAGAAATACAGCGTGCTACTGGGTGAAATTGGGAACACCCCCATTCGAGAGATCGCCGATTCGCCTTCCGCATCGACTCTCACGCCGCGTTGGACAGGTCCAATTCATCCAACTCCTCCAACGACTAATCCTCCGCTTTCTCTGTCTCCTCGGCCCCGAACTTCCTCAAAAGCCGTCCTAGCCGACGCGGCATCAAGGACCTGGGCCATGCGTGATCTTCCACCATTGTCTAAGTAACAGGCGAGAATTGGTCGGGCATTTGGCGACCGCCGTCACAATGAACTAGCCGTTCAAGACCGCGCCGCTAGTGCACGACAGAAATGGTTGCCTACCCATGCCCTTCAGGATGGAGCACACCCTCGCCTTCACGATGGAATCTACCCCTGAACCTTCTTCAACAACCATCGAAGGGACGGGTCCTCGGGTTTCACAAACCTTGATCAGCATGCAGACAACACTTCTAGGTGCAATTCAAACGCTAACCCCCTGGTATCATGCAACACAAACAAAGCCGCCAGGCACCCGCCATTCCCATACAACACCAGCGCACAGCCGCGTTCAGCACCCACCAGCGCTGGCCTAGCGCTCGTCCTCCTCTTCAATACCTTTGCCCTTGTCGTCGTCTCGTCGCCGAGTCCCCGCTCCCGTTACCGTCGGCCGCCGTTTTCGCGCCGATGCGCGCCGGGAAGACACACGTCGGAGACTCAGCGGGATCTCTGCCTCGCCCTCCACTGCCGTCTCCAGGCTGTCTGAACGCGCTCGACTGCCCCTGGTCCAGGTCCTATGCAGGTGTAGGCCTGTGTCTCCGCGCTCTGCTGCAGCCTGCCGGCCAGTGGACAACGCCGTATCGTGTCTTTGTAGTCCATGATCGAGCCTCTGGGAACCGGCATCTGGCCGGGCCGTGTCTGGCCTGGAGAGCCCCGTATCTGGTTTCTGTTCGACTTTTGCTTTTGCCTGTCCCGTATCTTGTCTGGCCAGCCCGGACAGCCCCGTTCCAGGCCTCTTGATCCTTGTCCCCGACCTCCGCGACTCGGTTTTGGCCAAGGACGCGCCTGCCGCCGCGTCGTCTTCATCGATCGGTACCTCTCTCGTCTTGACATTCTTCGCATATTCTTTAAACGTCGGCTTCTCCAACATGCCGCTTCTGAACGCGTTGACTCCCACTAGCAACTTTGCTAATTCCACCAGCTCTTCGAGGTACTCGATAATCTCCATCAGCCCCGCCGCGTTTGCATTCCAGCTGAGGAACTTGTGTTGCGTCACTACTCGCGCCGTGCGCTCGTCCTCGCTGAGTACCCTCTCGGGACCTTGCATGCTTGCCATGTAATTCCGCATCCCGCCCTTCCTCGCCCCGCCGGCAGCGGTGGCCATCTCGCTGTGTTGTGCAGCCTTGTCGATGAGAGCCTGCCGGACACGGTTTATGAGGCGTAGCATCGCCAGGCGTGCCGAAGGGATGAATTGCGGCAGCGGCATGCGCGTCGTCAGCGCCTGGTTCACGACGAAGAGAGCAATGGCGATGGATGCCGCCACGGCGCGACGGTAGGCGTGTACCTCGGCGTTGAGCTCCTCCAGGACCGAGCTGCCATAGACGCGCCGCAGCTGGAGCATATTGTCCATTCGGTCGACAATCTGGTGCAGAACGTAGATGATCTCTCGATAAATGGGATGCAGCTGCCGAAAGCTACCCTTGAGTCGTGGCTCTGTCAGGCAGAACGGCAGAAACGTCTCTGCAGCCGATAATGCGCCCTGTGCCTTCTCCCGAGACCGCTCGAAGCGCTGTTGAACCTTGTCTGAGCGTAACTGAAGATTCTTTGGGTTGTCAACGCCTACGGCGATGGCTGTCTGCATGCTGCTCATCTGCTTGATCGACGTTGAGAGCGACTCCACCATCCTGTCGCGAGCTCTGGCGGGGTAAAGAATGAGCTCCACGAGGAGACCAACCGAACAGCCGATGAAGAAGGTCACTAACCGCGTGTAGAGGTTCACGTGTGACACGGTATTTTCATTGACGGTTGCTATAGATCGTGAGCAGGTCAACGTGGCTGACTTCGGCAGGCGAAACATACTTAGAGCGACAGCCGTCATGGAGGATATTGCAACCATGCCCGTCTTGACGTATTTCGTGCCGAGCTGGATGTATACAGATGGCACCACTCCGATGACCAGAATGACAACCAGGGGCGCTCTGTGGCCGCCACCGGCTACGCAAGCCGCATATCCCATGACACAACCGAACGTGACACCTACCAATCTGAGGATGAAGACGAAAAACGATGTGCCGATAACGACCTCGAAGATCAGGATGAGTTGTAGGGGCGCCCAGACACCCCGAATGTTCGCGTACCACTCGTACCACGATGGGATGAAGCCCGGCCAGCTGATGATAAAAAAGGCAATAGCAAGCTTGATCGCATAAATGGCATCGTCTGACCTCTGGAGCGACTCGTAGACGTCGGCCACGCGCGCCCGGATGCGGCTGACGATGCCTCCCGACGCTGCGGCACGGCGTTTCTCCTTTTTCTTCTTTTTCTTCGCCTCGCCCTTTGCTTTCGGCGGAGTCGGAAAAGGTGGCTTTGCGTGTTGAAAGCTCGCTTCCAGTACGTTTGGCACACTCTCCACATCAGCTCTCTGTCGCGCGAGAGGCCTGTCGAGCTCCTCAACGGTGCCTTCTTCTTCCATCCTGCTCTCCTCCTTGGGCGTAGGAATTCGCCCCGACCGGCCCTTCTTGCGCATCGTCTGCGGCAGGACCATGGCATCCCTCTCGCCGCCGGTCGACAGCCACTGCCGCCAGCCAAAGTACTCGGGAAAGTGAATGCTCATCCTGTGCCGCCTGTGGCGCTTCTCGACGAGGAGACGAGCGTAGCGCAGCAGCTGCAGCATGTGCACGGCCGACTGCCGCAGGCCCAGCAGGAAGGACGATACGAGAAACGTCTCCATGCGGGGCATGATATCGGCCTCGCCGTTCTTGGTCGTGGTGGCGCGCTCGAGCTCCTCCGTGGAGCAAAAGTCGTAGATGGCAATGGCGTCCATGAAGGCGTCAATGCGGATGTCCATCTCTTCGAGAATGATCCTCTTGGGCGTCGGCATGCCCGTCTTCAGCTTCGGGAGGCCGTAGCAATACGCTAGGCTCGTCGTCACCGTCAGGGCGGCCTGCTGCAGCGCCGCGGTAAAGTCCTTGGTCGGCAGCTGGATGCGCTTGATGATGGCCACGAGAACCTCGGGATCGCCTGCTTCCAGCTCGCGCAGCGGCTTGACGGATTCCAATGCGTCGAGAGGATCTTCCTCGGTCAGCGTCGTCGGGTTTCTGAACTTTCTGGGGCCCAGAAGCTCTTCGAGGGCCGAGGCGCGCTGGAGCGGCCGCACGAATGCACCCTCGTCCTCGGTGTCGGTGGCATCGTCGGGTTCGCCGTCGCCCAGGAGGACGAATTTGTTCTCGCATGCGCCTATCAGCATGACGGCATTGTGTACGAGACCGGGCATGGCTTTCGTGGTGATAGGCTTAAGGCTGGAGGGCGGCAGGGGACCGATGGCAATCTCGAGGTTGACCTCGGACTGGCCGGCGCGGCAGCGCTGCAGGCCTGACCGCAGCGCAGCTTTGCTAGCCGTCAGCGCGGCCAGGTTGATGTGTTGCGCCGGGGCGCTGATGACAGGCACTCTCGATCCGGGTGTGGACAAGGGGTTCCGTAATCCGGACCAAAGATGGTGATACCAGGGGCGTTCGGCGCTTGAATCACCTTCTGTTTTCGCGGTGCCGGCCGTGTTCGGCGAGGCTTCGACCGGCTGGTCGCTCTGGGGTTCGTCCGGGCCATCCCCGGGGCTGAGGAACCAGTTTGTAGAGCGCGTCACGGCCAGCGTCGTCTGATCAATGGCATCGATGGTGGCGTGGGCGAGGAAGTCGTTGGAGGGCTCCGGGAAGATGGAAAAGTTAATCAAGAAAGTGACCACCATTCCTATCAAGATGGGATACGCGACATACGTCACGATGGTGCTCGTCAGCGCCCGCCACGGGCCCATAAGGATGATGGTGGAGGAAGTCAGGTGAAAGAGAACGTAGACGATCAACCTCGGGCTCGACGAGCGAAGATATCCGTGATGAAAAACGGCGCATAACAGAAAGAGGGCCCGGATGGCGAACGCGGCCTGGAGGTTGTCATCGACGGCCCGGCTCGATAGCCAGAGGCCGAGCGAGCCCCACGCCGTTCCCATCGTTGCGCCGACAAGGGTCAGGAGTAGTCCCTCGACCATGGCGCCCATTCGCTGGCCCGGGTTGGCGAAGACGGTCGTCAAGGGGGCCAGAAAGGTAGTGCCGGGGAAGAGGGCAACAACCTCGGGGATCAGGACAATGATGATGGTGAGGGTCGTCGCTATGGAATACTTGACGACGCGCCGCCATAGGTTGTTGGTTCGGAGGTTGGTCCATGTTGTAGCGGACCAGGCGCGTGACTTGACAATGCCAGAATGAAGCCATCGTGGTCTGTGTCCATGTCGAAGTCCTTCGGCAGGCGCCGCCTCGGCTTCAGCCATATCCGCTGCTGAAATGGCCAACGCTGAAAGTTGAGCCACGGAGGCCAGTGGCTTCCTACAGACCGTGGATGTGCTTCAGACGGTAACTCGACAGATGCGGTTGTTGGAGACTGAGAATCACGATCCCGAGGTATGCAGATTCGACCCCTTGGACTCCATGGCTCGATCTGAATTTGGTGGAAGTCTAAGCCTTGGTGGGATGAAGAATGGGGGCAGGAATATTCGGCAGCGTTGGGCACATGGTTCATGGGCCGGCAAGAAGATGTCGAATGTTAGGTCGCAAGTGGCAGGCAGACGTGGATCTGGAATGAGGTGAAGTCATCTGCCAAGGTGAGTTCATGTAGCATTGACGGGGGCGCGCGAGTCGCGTGTTCTGGAAACCGGGTCCGGTTCCGGGGAGTTGATCCAAGGAAGGACCCAGACCCAGAGAGGGTGAGCCTTGGAGGGATTCGAGGTCAACATGGCCAAGATAAGTGCCCGGCATTAGCGGGTACACCGGGATAGCTGGGTAGGAAGCACTGCGGCCAGATAATACTCTGACATGTGCCGGTCATAGGAAACTTAGTGGCAACATGTCAACATGTTGATGAATGCCGCGGTGCTCCCATCTGGATCGACTGAGAGGACGGATATGTCATGCATTAGACATGCTTGACAGGTCTCATGCAGACGAAGAAGGCTCTGCAGCACCTGCCCAACACGAAAAGCGAGCTGTCCGAGCGAGTTGGACCAAGCTCACAAGTCCATATTGGGCATTCATCGTTTTCTGCAAGCCCTGGCCTCGACTTGGGTACCGAGAAGATCCCAATCCGTGACTTCTGATACTGATCTTCCTAGGGGGGTAAATGTCCGCCAGAACGGCTGTGACAATTTTGCTTGTTCAGGCAGCCTGTATGTGCATTCTCCAAGGTACCTTAGGTACATAGTAGGTACCTGGTACCCCACTGGTAGGTATCTAGCACTGTCCGGGCAGACACAGTGGGGTGCAGAGCATCCCTTGGTGCCACTGATCCCCGCACTCAGGTCTTCCGCCTGAACCTGCAGGCACCGTCGATTGCTCTAGCCGCAGTATAGGTACTCCCACTCCCCCACTTGAACGTGTCCGGGGCGATTAGATAACAACTCGATCTGCTACCGTCAATTCGTCTGCCTTGTTGCGATCGTCTGCCTGCCACCTTTGACTCCCATAATACAACAATCTTCAGACTTGACCTTCAGGCAACAGCTTGCCTATTTCTGCCTTTTGTCCGGATATTTTCCCCTGATCGAACACATACATCTGCATCACAAACCGCTCCAGACGGCTGCCGCCCATCATGCCTCCCCCTCCTGCGTCCTTAATCGTAAGTGACCCCGCGTTGATCCCCCGCCACTGCAAATGACGTAGACCCCGCTAACAACGGCAACCCGCGCGTGCGCCATCCAGACCAAACTCAAGGTCCAGCTCAAGCTGGCCATCGCCCGCCTGCGCATGGTCCAACAGCGCGATGAGGCCTTGGGCAAGACACAGCGCCGCGCCATGGCCCAGCTCCTCGAGGTCGGCAAGGTCGAGAGCGCCCGCATCCGCGTCGAGAACATCATCCGGTCCGACATCACCAACGAGCTGCACGAGCTCCTCGAGTTGTACTGCGAGCTGCTCATCGCCCGCGCCGGCCTGCTCGAGGGCTCGACGTGCGACCCCGGTCTCGAGGAGGCCATCAAGAGCATCATGTACGCCGCGCCCAAGACGGAGATCAAGGAGCTGCAGGTCGTGCGGACGTTGCTCGCCGAAAAGTACGGCAAGGAGTTTGTCATGGCGGCCATGGAGAACGCGGACGGCAAGGTGGCGCCAAACATTGTGAAGAAGCTGAGCGTGACGCCGCCGCGGGAGGAGCTCGTCGTGGGATACCTCGAGGAGATTGCGCGGGCATACAACGTCGACTGGCCCAAGCGCCAACAGCTCGGCGAGGCGCCAGACCTGCTCGACGACGAGGACGACAGCGCTGACGGCCCCGGGGAGGATGGCGAAGGTGGTGCAGGCGGCGGTCAGAAGGTTCTTGCGGAGCCGGATCTCAAGGCCGAGAAGGAGCAGGAGATGCTGAGCAAGGCCACTCCGCCAAGGACGATTGGGGGCCCGAGCAGCCCTTTAACCGTCAATCCGCCTAAAATGACAACTGACAACGTCCATCCGCAGGTCAAGGTCAGCTCGCTGAACCTGAAACCGAACCAAAAGATGGCCAACGCACAGAAGAAGACGGACGCCAATGGACCAGGTGGCGCGGTACCCGACATTGCTGAGCTCGAGAGGAGGTTTGCCGCCTTGAAAAAGCTGTAACGTTGAACATGTCAATGATTGGGTGTTTTCGGTTCAATGGGCTGGCTCTTGGGTTTGGATGCTTCAGATTTAGCGAGCATGTGTTTTGTTATTCTAGCTTATTGAAGGCTGGCCAAGGACCTGTTTGTCATTGCCAAATGGACTGATCTTTGTCTGATGTGACTACCTCTAGCATAGTTGCCAAGACGTGTGCTTTGTATCGCTGTGCTTCACAATCATTTTTTTCACTCTCAGAACCTTGGAAAGCACTCCCTTGCTTCGGAATAATACCAAGGCAGGCGTCACTGAAGCATACTACCTGTTGATGCCCATGTGAAAGGAGTTGGTGGCTGATCAACTAGTCAGCGCTAGTCGTCTATTGTCCTATTGTTCCCTTCAGCCCTCCTGCTGCTCCTTGCATCCGAGCATTGGAACAAAGGCAGGCACGATCAGTTCCCTGCGTATAAAGAGCAACAGCCAGTGATGCACAACATGATTTGGATTGTAGGTCATTCGGCCCATCGCCAGACAGACATTGGTGGTCTTGTTTCCCATTAGCACGCATCGCGAGAGCTCGTCCAACAACGGCGCCGCGAGTTTTCACTCCCCTTGTTGGAATTCCCACGAGGCATCCCCGCCGTGACCATTTCGACCTCAAAGCAGGAAGAATAATCACGCCGCGGCTATGGACGATGGCGATTTGGCCAAGCTCGGACTTCCCGGCCTGGAGTATATCAGACATGCTTCCCAAGGTGATTTCCAAGATCAGCTACGGCGTCAATTCGAGAATGGGACATCGGACGAAGATGCCATACTAGTGGGCGCGGCCGAGTGGATGGCGGAACAGGTGCCACACCTGACTCTCGTCAACCACAAGAGCAACTCTCCCGTTATTCGTAAGTGGTGTAGTTTTCTTGCCAGTCTCGGCTGTCCCAAGAACAAGGTCTTGGATCACTTTACCCGATCCAAGAAGATCAGAACATGCCGCGGAGACGGCAAACGGGCAACCGAGCCTAGGTTTTGGAACTTCGCGAAGCGGCTCATGGACATCACATACGATGGTAAAAGAGCAAGATGCGTCCGAAGGAATAAGCCAGTTTGCCACCCCGTGGTACAAAATGCCTTGGATCAACCTACCACGCCTTCCTGGCAAAATGGTTCCATTGAGAAAATGAGTTCGAAACTCAAGACAAGCCCCCCGGGTCCCAGCACCTCCCAGGGAACTGCTCTTCCTGAAGTTCAGGGGATCAGCCGGCTCCGTTCTCGGCCGGGCAAGGCATCCAAGGCTTCAGATCAGAAGAAGGAGATCATTTTCCTCGTCCCGTTCATGCCACCTGCACCAAGGACCGGAGGCTACGACAAACCGGATGTCGTCGACCACACTCCCTCCGACGAGGGTTCACCACCTCGCAAGCGCCAGAAATTGACTGAGCGCCTCCAGGGAGAGGCTCCTCGACAGACGAACGAAGCGACAAGCCTTCCCCTGGCGAAGACGAAGAAGTCGCAGGCCAAAACGAAGGCAAGAACAATAAACGGCAAAACATGTCTATATGTTTGGAAACAAGACCATTGGGGGAACTCACCGGGTCAAGATCGCGACGATAGACGCGAAAGAAAAGCGCAAGCTTCGCGGCACCAACTTTTGCAATCACCAGACCCCCAAGATACCATCATATGCAGACCTCGTCTCACCTTGATGCCTACACCGAGCCCTGTAAACGATCAGCCGCTCGAAACTGGCCGCCTTTCGCCGCGGTATAGCGTGATTGACAAGCCCTGCCTGGATGCAGAGCGCAGAGGAATTTGCACCGGGGCCCCCATTTCGCAAACTGATGAAGAACAAGCCGTGGTTCGAGCGGATGTGTTCCTGGATGCGCTGGCCTCCGAGTTGACAGCGAAGAAGGGCGGCGACTGTGTGTCGCGGGTCATGGCATGATCCCATGACTACAAGCGAGACACTATGCACATCAAAATCCACTGAATCGTGGCATGAAAAGATCTTTTGCCAGGGAGATGGAAACAAGAAATAGACATAGCTCGATTGAACGCCCAACGCCCTCCCAGTCATGATAAGTTCCATCCTCATTGCAGCCGCCCTGAATGTTTGATGCACCGCATGCTTTCTCCCACCTTTTGCTCGTTCACTCCAGCTTGTCCAGGTGTTCCAGCCGCGTCAACACAACCTGCTTACTCGTCTCCTCGATCTCGCCGGCCAGAAACACCTCGTCGAGAATGGCGTAGACCTTGTAAAAGTTGAAGACGAGATCGAGCTCGCACACGTTGCCGAAGAAGGAGTCGAGGACCTCGACGAAGAAGTGGATGGCCTCGAGGTAGGCGAGCTCGTTGTCGTTAGTATCGACGCAGGCGCAGAAGAAGAGCCCGGCGTAGCGGCGGTAGACGATCTTGTTGTTGCGGTGCTCGACAAAGTTGGACTGGTACTTCTGGTCGCGCGGAGCGACGAGACGGTGGACCTGGGACGATGGGAGATTGCGTCAGAAGTTGGGAGAGCAGGTACTCGGGCGACTGTGGGAGGTGGAGGGAGCAAGGCGTACCTCGCCCTTGAGCTTGATCTTCTCGTCGTCGCTGTATGGGGCGTACCACTTTGCGAGGCGGGTTTTCCCCCTGGAGGAGGGGTGCATGTTAGCGACGGTACGGGACGGGCGGGAACGGGGCCATGTGGCTAAGAGGGGGTCGGAGAGCGAGGAACGTACTGTCGGTTCTGGATCAGGATAAAGGACAGCATCTTCACGGCGGTCCGGCGCACATGGGCGGCGCTGTACGTTTCGTCTGGAGCTTCTTCCTGAAGGGGGGGATCTCAAGAGGTCGTCGCCAGACCCCGAATTGGCTGACCAAGAAGACCGCCCGTTTTAGCACCGTGCTGGGCGTGCTGTACATAAGGTGTGGGCACCTACGTGAGGTGCCATGTACCTAGGTACGTACCGTGTCAGGGGAAAGGGCAGAACGCTCAGGCAGACGCAGGTACCAACTGATCTGCCGCACTTGACCGCCTTGGGTGGACCTACAAAACCGCGTCGCGTCCCGCCTCTTTTGGACTTTTTGCTCTCTTTCCTTTCTCCATCTGAGTGCAAGGGCTTTACGCGTATCAGTGAGGATTCGTCCGAGATCGTGTTTTTGCTAGTTGAAAACTATAACTATGACCACTCCTAGTTGGCTTCGGCTGGCTAGGGAATTTTTGTAACCCTTCTTCTTCCTCGATGGATGGAAAACTTTCTCTCTCTTTCTCATTGCTCACGCCTACGGGCTGGGGTGAAGAGGATGTGTGTGCAACGTGGCTCGCCATCGACATGGCTGCGCTTTTCTCATGATGACTGTAATGTTGATGAAACTGTCTGTGGGCTGATCCTCCTCAGGGACGCAAAAGTTGTGAGTTGCCTTCGAGGATGGCCTTGCTGATTTGGACACGCTGTTGCCTGTTCGCTGGACCTACCTTGAAGGCTTGCCCTTGTACAAGCCGCCAACTTTCGCATTTTCAGCCATTTCTCTCACTGGCTTGCTTTCGATGTCTAGGTACCTTATGAGCAGCCGGCTGCTAGCCTCGCAACGGGGTGGCATACATCTCACTTGGCCATCACGTTCCCTGGAAGCTCGAGTGCCATGTTAATCTGAAGAACCCTGCAAGATACGACGGCGACCAACGCGCAGGCAGTAAACAGGACAAGCAGCATCAAACACAGTCAGGGCACGCCGTATGAAGTCAGTTTCCTCATCTTACAGCATTGATGACACATTCAAAACACACTGGGCAAAGAGCTTTTTGCCCAACCCTCTACTAAAAACACATCTGTTGGTATCCGGCCCTCCAAGCTTCCCACGGACGTCATCGACGCCAAAAGACAGGAGGGCATAGCACTGTCCTCCCTGCCGTCATCTTGCACCACATTGCGTTCCGTCCCCAGCCTGCCTCAGGCCGGCAATATGTCCTCCTCGCCCATATCCGCGTCCTCGCCCGTGGCGGCGTTGATGCCGTCGACGGTCTCGCCGTCAAACACTTTGCCGTGCTCGTACGTCTTGCGTCGCCAGCCCGAAGGGTCCGACGCGTCCTTGATCCACTCCATGGTCGGGAAGTAGTGCTCGTTCTTCTTCATCGTGATGACCCACGGCACACAGTCGAACGTGCAGGCTCTTAGGCGGAAATCTGTTACGGGTCCAGTTAGCTCTCCGACTGCTACGAAGCATGATCAAGGCACTTGTAGACTCACAAGTATTGTCCGGGATGTTTTCCACCGCGGCGAGAAAGGCCTGCAGGTCGTGCGTCGGCTTGTCATTGACGTGGGTGATGAAGTTGGTGGGGGCAAGGCCGTACTGGTACGAAGGGGAGCCCCTCGTGCGTGCCGAGACGTAGACCTCGCTGTGCAGCTTGCTGATCTGCTGCCTGACGGCATGATGCGGCCTCTGGAGGACGGCTCCACAGAACGACACGGCGTGGTCCGTCTCGACGTCGTCCGCGGCCGACGTGTGCACCTGAATCGTCATTTCTTGCTTCACCCGCACGACGACAGCCTCGATAACCTCGTGCGAATACATGACGTCGAGCTCTGACACCCTCGTAATCACCTTGCCATTGAGGCTGAGGACAATGTCGCCCTCGAGCAGCGCGCCGGGCTGCTCCTTGCGCTCAAAGGTGCGGTTGCTGACCATGAAGAGCTGGTGGTGCGTCTTGTTGGCCTCGGTGACCTTGCGAATCCACTCGTCCGAGACGCCCATGTCACGCGCCTGCAAAAGCTTGATGGCACGGAACTCCACAGGGAGCAGTCTGAGTTTGGGCAGGACACCCTGCTGAATCTGAGAGATCACTGGCAACAGTGTCGGTGTCGCGAGACCAAGATGGTACTCCTCGTCGCGGTTGCTGACCGGCGAGCGCTCTCCGAGGTACGTCAGCCATAGAGCCTGCACAGAACCATCAGCTGCGACCAAAACGCCGCTGCCACACTGGCTGCTGAGACTCGTGTCGACAGTGATGGCGTCAACATTGACAGCGCGGTACCGCGGCGCTCCCGAATTAGCAGGAATCGCCACTGGTGTAATCTCCGTCACTGTTGTCGTCGCATGCACGATGCGGCCCAGTCTGTTGTAACCGATAAAGTTGGTGGACGCTCCCTGAGAGATGGGCTCGCTGCTCAGCTTGGCGCTCAGCACAGGCGCATCTACAAGTTTTGGGTCGTACTGGATGATGGCATAGTTTTGTAGCGGATGCAGGAAAACCACCTTGCCGTCCACGAAAATTGTATCGGCGATGCTGACCGTCACATCGCAAAGGTCATGGGGGACAACAGCTCTCGAGATGATGACGAGGCCCTTGTCAGCGTCTATCACGAGACCCATGCCCCATTTGCGATTCTTCGGGAAGCCGTCCAGTTTGACCGGCATGGTGCAGTTGACAAGCACAAAGCTGCGGACCAAGTCGGCAACGGCAGGGTTTGATGTGTACTCGAGCTGGATGAAGGAGCCAGACTGAGGTACAGTCGGAACAGGAGGCAAAGCATCACCCAGATCGGAAAAGTCCCAAAGACCAGTCTCGTCATTTCGCACCGCCATCTTCATCTTGGCCGACCAATGCCTGTCGACATTGATGACGGTCGTGTTGAGAGTATGCAGGTCACGAAGGTGCTTATAGGTGACGACGACCCTGCGGCGATCAGGAATCTCTTTCATCACCTCGACAAACGTATCGAGATCGGGCGTGTTCTTGCCGGCCACACTCTGGATGAGCCAGCCGTTGTCTGCGCTATCGAAACGGAAAGACCCCGTTGCCTCGCACACAAAAACGCCCTTGCAGGCCACGGCATGGAGACGCGCCTGCTGGTAAGATAGGTCGTGGAAGCTGGCGCCCGCGACAGACACGAACCGGTCAGGGGTGATGGCGTGCAGATCGCCGACTTCAATGTCAACCTCCATGTCCTCGCCCCCACGCTGGATCTGTAGATGGATTGTCTTGCCCACATTCGAGTCCATGATGTCGTCTAGTCGGACAAATTGGGTTGCCAGTTCGCCATTCACCTTGATCAAGATATCACCCTCCTGAATCTTGTTGTGGGATGGTCCCTCAGGCAGCACAATCTCAGCAACGAGCATGTTGTTCTCCTTGGGGAAGGTCTTGCGCGCGAGAGCCTCCCATTCAGGGGTCAGGCCGAGGCGTCGACACTCGTCGAACGGCTTCAACAGCCAGTGGCACTGAATATCGCCTCGCGTGACCGGCTTTCCCTCCTGAATACATTGCAGGGCACGCAGTGGCCTGTCCAGCGGCAAGAAGTAGTCGGTCGACGCGCCGTCGCTGCGACCGCCAGCCTGCAGAGCGATTGCGAAACCGTCAATGTTGACAACAGGACTGCCGGAACTGCCGCCGCTTGCTGCGGCGTTGGCTTGGTAGTAGCAGGTGTTGAAGTCGCTGTACCCCTCTCCGTACTCGGGCGCGTTGCGGTCGAGACGCGAGATGAAACCGGACAGGATACTGAGCTTTTCTCCGGCATCGTTACCGACGACTCGAATTTCGACACCAACTAAGATGTCTCATTAGCATGTCGCTGTGTGCAGAATCTGGCAGCACCTACTCTTGGCCAAGTCTGGTCGCAACTGCAGCGACTGGATATCCATGTAGCGAAGGGCCTTGGGGTCGAACCGTAGGATGCCGAAATCGTGGACGGGGTCGCGGTAGACCGGGTAGGCGTCGACCTCCTCGTGATTATCAAAGACGACAAAGCCCCAGAAGGGTCCGGAGCCAACAACATGACGATTCGTCAGGATGTATCTGGTTGATGGCACGTCAGCCTAACCGCCCCCAATAAATGGGCCCAATGGCGCTTCTCAACGTACCCTTTCTCAGCGTCGACGACGAAACCAGTGGCCTCGCTCGTCAGAGCTGGATCTGTATCAAAAGAACAAGTTTGGCAGAACCTGATCGAGACAACATTGCTAATGACGTTCTCGATGGTATGCTGCCACGCCTCGGGCTCTTGCGTAGCCGGGAACATGGGGTTCAGCCGAGCAACCTCCTCGTCGTCGTACTCGTCCTCCTCGACGTAGACCGGCTCATCGTGTTCGACGTCAGGGGTGTTATCGCCTGCAGAGAACTTGCCGTTTAATGCACGATGCTGCTTGTTCGGGCGCAGACCCTCGGGGCTGGTGGGAGCCTTGCGCTTGGAGCGGGTAACCTTGGCGCCGTTCATGATGCAGTTGGTCGCGGTCGTGGGAATGGAAGCGCCAGAGAATGCGCGACGAGGTTTGGCTGTACGGAAGAAGCTGCGACTTATACGGCCAAGCTTGTGAATATCTTCCGTGATCGAGCCGGAGTTGTAGAGGTTGCCAGAGCTTGCGTTGGTCTTGCCTTTGTTGGAGTTGGCGATGGAGCGTGAGCGTGTCTTGGCCAGGGTCTGGAATCGTGGCCAGGCAGGGTTGGTCGGCGGCGGCAAGGCAAGTGGTGTGTCGAAGTTGGTGTATGGTAGACTTCGTATCCCGGTCCGTCTAGTCGTGAGCAGAATACGGTGCATGTGATGCTTCGAGACAACCTTCACCCGCTGGGAGCCATTCGATTTTTCGTGGAACCTGGATTTGGGAGCGGCGAATGGTTTGCGCTCGGGATCGAATTGAGATTCTGCTTAGGTACATACCAATACTGCCTAGGACGATGAGTTCCGCTACTGCTACTGTCCATCCAGGTCCAGGTTTCCACTGGGGCTTAGTTTGGTTCCTGCATTATGCGTCTATAGGAAGTGACGTAGACGGTGTGGGGCACATCTTTCTACGCCATCCATTAGCACCGGGAGATGCATACAGGTGCAGCTCTCGTGGAGGGTGTCGAACTACAGCTAATGGGTCACGGGTCGGAGCGCTCGACACCACCTTCTTCATGCCGAATCCAATGGAGGCACTCGGATCGCAAAGCACCAGGCACAACATCATCTGCAGGTCTTGGACTGTCTCATCCCCATGGCATCTCATGACTTTTGTCAGGACGGTCTAGCCCAAGGCTGAGCCTCGGTGTGGTGTGCATCACTCTCTTTGTCTCTCGCATGATGGAGCAACGCCGGACGATGGTTTACGAATGACCCTGTGTCCTTATCCAATATACTCACGCTGCGATGGCGGTCACTGCGGTTAACGTGCAGTGTCGGAGCTCAATACTAGATGCTAAGGTGCTAGGCTCAACAGGCTGAGCCGAAACCCGGATCAATATCAACTTTGAGGAAGCATTCAGGGATTCTTTTGGCTGTGCAATATTCTATAGCAGCCTTGCTGTACTCGGCAGTTAGATCTGGCTTTCTTGTGGGACAAAGCGGACGCAGTTCGACTCAAAAAGTTGTACTTTAGCACAGGAAGAATCATCTGGTCTGTGTAGCCAGTCCTTGAAGGAAGTCTTCATTTCTGTCCTCTGCGGAAGTTTCTCGCGGGATATTAGATGCATAGAGTCATGGAGTCTGGGTCAACCAGAACAAGTGAGCAAATATATCATACATGCTTTGGCAGTGAGCTTAAACATCTTTGCTACTTGCACAACATTCACTCTGAAATGCACGCCATCACCATCTCGTCGAGCTGCAGGTGAACTAGGGCATTGCGGGCTCGGACTGTCAAGTACAGCGTATATGTCCATCGTGCTTGCGTGACAGCGACGACGGGCTAGATTTTGGACTGGGGGAGAAGAGTAAACGATCATCAAGATAGGTGAGACTGATGGCATCTGGACACGTAGATGGACAAAGGTTTTCACATTTGCATTCTCTCAACCAGCTTGGCATCTCATCGCTTCCCTCTCACTCAGGGGGGCCACACCTAGGTGCTGAAGTATACAATGCCTGTACTGCTTCGCTCAGCCAGTCGGGCCAAGAGGAAAAGTGTTACTTTCAATCCAGAGCTGGACTACTTTTACTTGTAAGTGATGACAGTCTCATAAATACTTTTTATCACAGCGGTTGTTCTGGGCCTCGGAACTCGTGACCTTCGCACGGCGCCTGCCTGTCTCTGAGTTCAAGGACCTTCCACGCAACTCAACTTGCTGCGAGTCCTTCAACTCGATCGACTGCCTAGTACAGGCATCCACGCTCTGCGCACCTTCACTTTCTTCACTTATCGCAAAACGCTTCAAATAAGTCACCTGTTTGCGCTCCTGCTCTCATTCACATCATTCCTCAACCATCTCCTGACCACCTCTCCAACCAACGCCCTCACCAGCCATCATTTCTACTAACAGCACCAAATATCAATAGCACACCCGACGAACACGAAGACTCGGAAACAGAATCAGAATCCCCGGAAGCCATGTCGGAAACTCAGAAAAACGGCAGCGCCAACGAAAACGGTCAGGGCACCACAAAGGCTGTCCCTTGGACTGAACTCGACCGAGTATGTTCCCTACCCCCCAACTTCAACACCAACCACCCCTTCAAGTGCTGTGCTGACCATGAGCCCAATAGGCCATCGTCCTCAACAACATCCTCGGCCAGCTCCACGCCAGCAGCGGCAAGACCCTGGACTGGAAGGCCATCTCCGAGGCCCTCCCCGGCCGCACCATGGCCTCGATGCGCGCCGTCTGGGACCGCTACAGAAACGACATGAAGACCGCCGCCGCCGGCGAAGGCGACTTCGTCGCCGTGCCCAACAAACAGAAGACCCGTACGTACCATCAAGTCCAGACCAGGAGGAGAAAAGCGTCCGCATCGGTATTGACAAGGCCGGAACAGCTCGCAAGAAAAGCACCTCCAAGACCGCAGCCGCCGTGGCTTCAGAGGATGCCGACGCCGAGGACGCTCCTGAGACGCCTGCCAAGAAGCGCGGCGGCGGAGCCAAGAAGCGCGCTTCCGGCGCCGACGGTGAGGGTACGTTCCTTCCACATACACTCTTAACCCTCTTTCTCGGCTACGAAGCCTAAGCTGAACTGACATGTGGCACAGAGGGCTCGGCCACCAAGAAGAAGCGCACTCCCAAGAAGACTCCCGTCAAGAAGACTGCTGCCAAGGTGGAGGAGGAGGAGGAAGCCTCGGAGGAGGCCGAAACTCCCGCTCCCGCCCCCGCCGCCGCTGATGCCGAAGACGCCAAGAATAGTGACGAGGAAATGAAGGACACGGCCGAGGCCAAGGTCTAGTTGAGAACCCACCAGCTTGCGGTTCATCTAGACTGTGGCAAGTCTGCCGCTACGCGAGCGACTACAGCATGGTTCCAGGACAGTACTGCCTTGCTTGACACCCTCGAAATCGTCTTGAATGATTCTCGACGCTTCTTGTTTCTTGCTTCTACGCTTTGGGAAATGGGATGCCTCAGCCGTCTGCCTGTGATGGTCTTAGCACGATACACTCACTGGAAGGCATAGGCTGGCAGGGCTGCTTTAGTGCCAGGAAATCAAACACCGCTATCCGTATATGAATATTCGAGTGATGTCAGTGGTGACAATGTGTGCGAAATGAAGACACACGTGCAAGAGGTCGCAGTGAGCAAGTCGCCTGTATCATCCATCAATCTGGTGTATATTGAGACCGAGAACCACATGACTATTTGACAGGGACAAACTGAATGTCGCGTAGTAGCATGTGGCGTGCAAAAAAGGTGTGGGCAAGCCTGGAAAGTATGCGATAAAAGGCTTACCCGATACCAGTGTTCACACCACCCAGCGGAGTATTTCAGCGTTGCGGAATCACCTTGGAGCCAGTCGAGATCAAACCCACACAGAACAGGCTCCACGGACGAGCAAGTACGAGAGAACATGGTGTCATTGTTTCGCGAATCATAATGCCAGTAACGCGTGGCTCACTATGCACTGCGCCTCGGCGAAGCTACCCATTCCCCCCAATATCAGAAGCAATAAAGAAAGAAAAGCGCACGACATGAGGACAACCCCTTAATTCTCTGAAACGCCAACCAAATCCCGAATATGGTTTTCCCCCTTTGCCCAAGCATGCCGTCTATCGTTGTCGAGTCGAGCCCCCTCCATCGTGACCCATTACCATGCGCTCTGACCCGAGGTAGGTACTGTATACCAAGCTGCCATTGTTCCAGCCATGGCATCGAAACTGCGAACAAACCGCGTCAAACAAGTCAGGAAAGAAAAGCTGCGCCTTCGTTGCACTATCGCTGTCGTGTCCGAATGGCTGTAGGCGATATTGTCGTTCGCCCAAGGCATGGGCTAATATGATTGCAAATACAAACAAGTTTTGTGGCCTGTCATTCCTTAGTCAACATTGCCAAGTTACCGCATCAGCTTCTTGTATTTCAAGAAATCGAGCATGCGCATCTCGTGCTCGTCGCAAGCAAGGCTCCACTTGCGGCGAACCTCTTTGTCCTGGCGAACCCAGCTGAGGTATTCCTCGATACCCTCGTCGCCCTGTGTCGTGAGGAATGCATAGCCTGCAGTTCCGCGTTCTTCCAGTATCTGTGCTTTGCGAGTTTCAAAATGGTAGGTGATCTGGGCGTTGAAAGCATCCCACTGTTGAAGGTAGTTCTGGAACTCAACGAGATACTTTTGCCACGTCGTGAGAGAGGGTTTGAGACCGGACACGGCCAGGGCAGCAGGCGGAGTAGGAGCGCGTGGAACAGGCGGAAAGTTGAGTTCAGGATCCTGCTTCTTCTCTTTCTCAATGGGTATCCGCTCAGAAGCCCGGCTCTCGAACGGCAATTGTGACTTCAAGTCGCCGAATGAGTTGAGTCCAGTCGGCTTTGTTGCAAACGGAGCAACGTTCTTCAACTCGGCAAAGCTGGCGCGGAAGTCCTCGCTATCCTCGGATCCCGCCGTGTTAGGGTTGAAAGGGGCCCGCTTGACACCATTCGGCTGTGGAGCCTCGGGTACGGGTTGAACATTTCCAGGCCGCCACTCGGGTCGGGAAGGCTCGACGGGGATGTTGCGAGCGCTATCCCGTCTCGAAGGGGGCGCGCTTCTGGGGTTGGGAGGCGGCGTCTCGGGATCTATGTCCATGGGCATTGGACTGCCTGTTGTAGCCGGTTCTGCTTCCGGCTGGCGGGCACCACCATCTGTGTCTTCATTGCTGCTACTTTCTTCATTGACCAAGCCGGCAGTTCCGACAGTTGGATGGACCGACTTTGGCTTCCGCGAGTTGGAGCGTGATGGTCGTGTTGGAGAAGATGCTTTGTTCTGAGTTGGCTGGTGTGCAAAGTTCTGCGGGCCAATCTTCTGACTCCAGCCCTCTGCGTCGAACCTGACTTCCTCTGCCGTCTTCTCATTCTCGGCCGGGAGCGGCTCCTTCGCGGGACGAGGAGGCGGGCGCTTGAGCGGCGAGTTCCGTCCCGTACGGCTTGCGGATTGGGTGCGGCGCTTGGCGAACGGATCCTCCTGTTGCGGAGTGTGGGGGCTGCCGGCGCTAAACTGCCACGTATCGGCCCCTTGCTCGTCGACAAAACTGGTGTTGATATCATCAGCACTGCTCCGGGCAAACCTCTTCTGGTCAGGAGTAGTCCGTGTGAATGTGTCGTCATCAACCACAAAATTGAAGCTATTGGTACAAGTCTTGTCAGCATAATCTCTGGGCTCATTCATCTCGGACCGCTGTCTTTTGATAGGTGTGTTTGCAGCGTGGATCAACCTCTCGAGTAGTTCGCGCTGTTTGCGCTCGAAAGGGGTAAGAGACTCTGTAGTGGTGGAGGAGCCATCCCCACTCGGAGAAGGTGTGGCAGAATCTCTGCGTGTTTGCGCGGTTGCCATGGTGGCCTGGGATTTGAAGCCTGGCCGTCGGCCATACACAGGGGATGTTGACATGGAGGGGTGGTGGGTGCTGTGATTGATTGACGCAGGGAAAGAAGAATTCTCAGAATGATAGGATGCGCCGTACATTGAAGGGCCGTTTGCCTTGTTCGAGGATGTGCTAGCGTTGGGTTGAGCTGAGAGAAGGTCAGTTTCCGCATTCCGAGTGAGCACGACATGACAAGCGTACCTTCGTTTGCAGCTGTTGTTGTCGGCCTGCTTCCTCCAGCCTCTCCAGCGTCGTAGGCTCGTCCTGACGGGGTATACTTGGCGCTTGCTCTTGAGGCAAACGACCGCTTATGAGTGTCGGAAGCCGTGTCGGCGGTATTGCTCTGTTGGGCCCCGGTAGGGTCTTCCATGGGAGCGGTCCGAGGAGAGCTTGAGCTTCGAGGACGAGCTCCGCCTGGGGACAGCCCGGCATCCTGGTACTCAGAGTGTCGTGTGCTCTCTCTTGTGCTCTTGGTGCGGCCTACGGAGATGCCATCAAAGGGATTGGTCTTCTCGCCGCCCCCGCTGCTGTATGGAGTTCTTTGCCGAGAATCACCAAACTTGTCGCGGAACGGTGCAAGGGGGTCGGGAATCGAGTCGCGCTGCTGCTGGGCGGCCGACGCTGATGCATCGTATGTGTGTCGGTTGGTAGCGTATGCACTGGAACTCACAGACGGTTCATCTCCAGGAACAGGGGAGTGAGGGGCATAGCCCGACGACTTCTTGGCCCCGAAAGCGGCCTCAGCTCTCTGCTTCTGTGCAGGCGTCCTTGGCACAGGTCTCTCAGGTCTCTGTGCGGGTCGAGGGGGTGGGACGGGCTGCTCGGGCACAGGCCTTGGCTTCGCCTGAGAGGCGGCGGACTTGCCTTGAGACGAAGGCCTCATCTGTTCAAAGGCCTGCCACGCATTGCGCCTGGATTCCATAGGGTCTTCGCGGGGTTGAGTCTTCGCAGTCGGCGCGGCACCCGAGGTAAAGTTGCGGTACTTATTCGCCCCCGATTGGGTGGCATTACGAGTTGGCTGATTTCGCCGAGGCGGTGGGGGAAAGTTGGCTCCAGCATCTTGCCAGGGATTGCCTCTGACACCTGACGCGGTGGGATAGCGCGAACGACCCCGGCTGGCATCGTACTTGGCTTTTTGCTCGGGGTCGGTCAGAATCTCATGTGCGGACTGGATGACCTGGAACTTGGAGTTGACTTCAGCTTCTCTGCCGGGGTTTCGGTCAGGGTGGTAGAGGAGCGCTTCGTCTGGTTAGCAGGGAGACCAGTTATCAGGGATGGAAACACCGACCTAGCTTCCTGAATTGCTTCTTGATGTCATTGACATCTGCTGTCACAGGCAGGTTGAGGTCCGCGTAATAGTCGCGAGAGTTGTCAAGGTTCGGCATATTGAATCGTGTGTCTAAGACCCTGGCAAGGTCCTTCAATGACGGTTTGGATGTAGGCGGGGGAGTGATCAACGCCAGACCCAGGCATCCCCGTTGGTATCCGTCACAGCCTGTTCGAGCTTTTCTGTTGTGCCCAAAAGTGGCCTGCCAGAAGACCAGAGGAGCCGAGGGGAAGAGCGACTATGTGATCGTCAAAGGTCGCTGATCTTGCGTGCTCATGAAGTATTGAGATGCCTGGTGAAAATCGGCCGAGCAAGGGAGGGTCACAGCAGCGGCTGGGCAGGTGTGTTGGCGTGATGATTGCGAGTCTTGCTTAAAAAAGAGGCGACGGGCTCGGGTGAAGATAGTCTTTGGTAGAAAGAGTTAGGAAGCTCGAGGTGGAGGAGAGAGTTCGGCTGCCGCTGTAGGACAAAGGTCAGCTCATGTCATCCAGACGATCGCCTTCTGCGCTTGGGACAGAGGAGATGGTAAAGACCAAATGGAAGGGAGTCCAGGCAGACCAGTCCTCAAGTGTAGAGCACTGAAGTCCGATCTAGGTATTCAGCACAACCTAGGTACCTAGGTGGGTAGGTAGGTAGGTAGGTAGGCAGATCAGGATCGCAGCGGAGGACAGGAAGGAGTAGGCAAATCGCAGGGCAGCAGCCTCTCAACGGCGACTGGACAGCACCCCAGTCGCAACAGACAAAGGTGCAGCGAGGCAGACGGCAGCCGAGCCACCCATCCAAGCTGCCCTCTTGCGGGTGGTCTTGGGTGCTGTACCACGCACACTCACTTGCACCCGGGCAATGGGTAAGCTGGGCGCCGTGACCCGGACAGACCAGGGCGACAGGGCACGTGAAGGGCAGAACACCAACTGCAGGAGGGCTCTCTTACCTGACAAGGCCAAAGTACCTATCGTTCTTGTATCGTGGGCGAAAGAACGCAGACGAGATACACGGACGGCGAATGTTTATGAATAGGCAGGTAGGTAAGATCGTGGGTCGGCGCTGGCTTGGTAGGTAGGTAGGTTTCGGGGCTGATGTCGTCAGGGTACCTAGGTACGCAAGGTGACAGAGAGTTCAGACGAGAAAGAGAGAAGATGGCCGGCCAGGCGAAGGGAAGAAAGGGTCAGGCAGAGGTCGCGCTGGGTAAAGGACCCCGAGGCAGGTGAGTAGGCAGTAGGAAGGTCGGTGATGTGCCCCGCCAACAGATCAGCTCGAAGAATGTCTCGTCGCATGGAAGAAAACAATTGCGCGGTTGCCTCAGCACACAGACCGGGGGGGGGGGTTGGACGTGGGACGTCAACGCTATGAGTGGAGACAAGCTTCCCGTTCTGGAGGGTCCCCCAGAGGTCGCACTAAACAGAGATCCCCCCCCCCCCCCCTAAGGTCCCTCCCCTAGGTCCCTCCCCTAGGCCAGCTCTACAGGGAGCGGGAGCCGGGACGTGGTAGGGACCCAAGGACCTAGTGACGTGTGGTGTGGCTGAGGCTTGCGAGCCACAGGCAACATGCGTCCTCCTTGACGATCACACGCTTCACAAGCTCGCCACGACCGACCGACTGACGAACCTCTGCTGGAAAAAGAAGGTGAGACTGATTGATCCCACATAGCTGGCTGGATCCAGTCATTCGTCCCTCTGCGCCGCTGCCGAGCTGCGTACTGCGCAACTCGGCAACACCAAGCTTCATTCCGGATTGTCGCCAGCCAGCTACTCACTCGCCCAGTCACATTGGCGAGAGGTGTAACCGCCTTCTCACCGCTACAATGTCCCTGTTGCCCTGCCTCACATCGACGACTGCATCTCACTCACGTCAACTTATCTATCAGATTCCCATGCGAGTCATCCCTCGTTCCCTTCCACGCCCCAACCTTCCACGCACCAGAAGCTTTGGCCTGCCCTACTCGGGCCGCCCGCGTACGTTGTCTGCACACGCCGAAGCCAGGGCACCAAAGGCGTGTATGTGCAGGTACCCTTAGACAATGCCCTCCAGACGGCGGCCCCAATCATATTGCCTCTGGAAATGTAGGGCGAACGTTCGTCATCCTGCATCAAAGCTCCTGTACGGTGACGATCATACCCAGCATGACCCAGCGGAACGGACTCGTGTGGCCTGCCTGATCCCCTCCTCCAAACGCCGTCCGACCATGCACAACACCAAAAAGATGTGTACTGCGTGCGAAAAAAATAGTGTCATCGTCATGTCTTATTGTGCGCCTTCAATTCGTGAAGTCCTGCTGATTCCCATGTCCGGTGGTTCATACGCCTTATACCAAACTATCCCAATCTGCAACGCAATGCAATCAACAAGAATACCATGTACAGTGAATGAAGCATCCGTCTCGCCCAACACCATCCAGTCATACCCAGTTTCGGCCGAAAATAATGTGACCTCGCACACGCGCCTATGCCAGGTCTTTGCTCATCTCAAACGTCCAGGCTCCGTCCTTGCGCATCCTGTCGCGGGCCACAAGATCCTTCCTGATTTCGTCTTCCGTCAGACGGTCTGTGCCGCTCCAATTGGCGCTCGACGTGCGCGCCCTGAACTTGTGCCAACGGTCCTTGCTCTTGCTGAACACCTCCTCCATCACGAGCGGCGCTGGTGGCCCAAAGATCTGCGAGGGGTCCATAGTCTCCTGGCGGGTCAGAGCCCTGCGCAGCTCCGGCGAGTCGACCCACGCAGCAGCGCCAAAGTTCGCGTCGTCTTCCTCCTCGTCCTCGTCGTCTGTGTCGATCTCGGGCAGCTCGATCGACTCGCCGTTCTGGAACCGCGGCGACGACCGAGTCGCCGACTTGGCGGCTGATTTCGCACCGGCAGCGCCCTGCGGGCCGGGCCGGCGTCTTGTGGGACGGTCCCGCCGGGTTGGGGTTGGGTGCAAAAGGAATCGCCCCCTTGGAGAACTGTGACATGTCCATAGGCTGCGTGCTCTTGACGGCGCTGTGGTGTTGAGCCGTGACGGTAGCCTTGAAGAGGTCGCGAGACGCGCTCTGAGGCGGGACATTGGCATAGCCGGCGGAGAACATGGATTTGTTCGACATATCCTGGTCATCGTTAGCTTCAGAGTCCTTGGACGCATCGACGCTGTGCAAACTCACCTTCTTCAGTCCGCCAGAGGGCCGGACAGGCGGGCCCTTGATGTTGGGGGGCTGGCTGTCCATGTCCAGCTCGTCAAAGAAGTCGTCGCTTGTCCGTCGCCGCTTGGAGTCCTTGGACTGATAGCTCGGTCCATTCCTGGCTTGCGGGTGGCGGGATGCACCGTCGTTGGTCTCCTGCTGCAGAGGTCGCTTAGGCGGTGCCTTGGCACCCTGGTTCAAAACTGCTGACACAGGACGGCCAAGATCCTCTTGAGGTCGTTGACTGGCAGTGTTCATACGCGATACAGGACGGGGGGGCTGACTGCTCGCCGCCGCCTTGTCCGAACCAGTGTTGTAGTCCGGAGGCCCGGTAGGCTGAGCTCGCACTGCGGGAGGTGGCGCTCGCGTCTGCTTGGCCCGCTCGATGGCGGCTTGACGTGCGGCGTTCTTCTTCGCCTCCGCCTGCGATGCAGCCTGCTCTCGTTCCTTGGCTTTCTGCTTCTCAGCCTCGAGCCGCTTCTGCTGTTCCTGCCTACGCTCCTCTTCTTGCAACGCCGCCCTCTTGCGTTCAATCTCCGCCTTGGCATCTCTCTTGCGCTGAGCCTCCTTCTCCTCAACCTCCTTCCGCTTCGCAGCAAGCTCCAGAGCCTTCGGCCTTCCGGCTGTAGAGCCTCTAAGGCTGGAAAGAGAGGGCTTTTGCTGGAGCGAAGCCGAGCTGGCCTTGCTCTTGAGCTGGGGCTGACTGGTGCCGAGAGTGTCGTGCAGGTTGGATGAAAGGGACGAGTTGGAAGGATGATACTGTGAGTGCTGTGATCCGGTGTTGACGCGGATGACTGTAGGCGCCTGCCTCGACTTCGTTGCCGTCTCCTTTGTGGGCTTAAGCGGCCTCCGTACCTCTCTCGCACGGCTCGCTTGGCCAGGCCCAGCGGATCTGGGAACGGATGGGGGCGCCATCGAACCCGGCGCATCGTTCATGTCAGCGTCCTCCTCCGCAGCAGCCTTTGCGGCAGCCTCGAGCTGAGCCTTCGTTTTGCGAGGGCTTGTCCTGGTAGGTTTCTCCTGCTTGGGGGCGGGAGTTTGCGCAACCTCCTGCTCCTTCTGAGCCGCAACCTTCTTTTCAAAGGCTGCGATTCTTTCCTGCTCCTTGCTGAACACACGAGCTTTCTCGCGCTCCTTTTCGCGAGCCTTCTCCAGTTTGTCCATCTGCTCGTTCATGAGGCGGGCCTCCTTCTGGGTTTCCTTTTCCTTGCGTTTCTCCTCCTTTTCCCTTTCGGTCGAGGATCTCGTTCGCTTTGCGACCGGGCGTGTGGGGCTCCCGGAGCTGGAAACAACAGGAGCATCGTTTGTGGCGCGCTGGGACAGGTCGGGATACAACGAGTCAGCAGTCGTGGCCAGAGTCGCAAGAGAGCTGGCCGAGGGGTCTGCATGGAAGCCAAGCCTAGTTGACGAGGGCGACAGCAGAGACTTGCCCTCGGCACTAATGGCGGCACTGCTTGCCAGAAGCCCTCTGGAACTCTTGATGATCGAAGAAAGCTTATTCTTAACCTGTTTCAGCGGGCTGTCGCGGAAGCTGCGTGAAGGAGACTTGGGTGTTTGCGGACGTCCAGTCTCCGATACGGACGTGAGAGCTGGGTTGGACACAGAAATCGCCTTCAGAGGCGAGTTGACGCCCGCTGGCCCAGAGGCCATGCCGAGCTCGGGCAGCACAGATACCGACGCAGACTTAGTGTGTCCCAGTGTGCTGGTTGTTCGCTCAGGCACCACGGGGCCACGTTGAGGAGAGGTCGAGCGACTGCCAGCTTGTCGCTGCTTGGGCAGAACAAACTCTGCGCCGCTAACCGAGTCCATTCCGTGAATGCCTTCCATGATGTCCGCCGTGTAGCTTTTTGGAAGCGCTGGACGAGGACTGGATTCGATATGATCCTTCTCTGGCACCGCTGGAGGAGCAATCCACTCCTCCTCCTCGTCGTCATCGTCAGGGAAAGCTCCCGGAGTAGGGGGCGCAGCTTGTTTCTTGGGCGACGATCTTGATGGTGTTTTGGCCGGGGACTTCTCTGGAGTCTTCTCCTTGACTTCTGGTGCTGATGCAACAGCGGCGGCTGCTTGAAGAACTGCGGAGCTAGGGATGGACTTTGAGGGCCTGCTGGCGTTCGGCTGCGACTTTCCAAGGAGGCTGATCTGGTCTTGCAGCCTCTGAGTGTAGACCTTGTTGTGGTTATCGGCAAATACCTCATCATTGGTTGTTTTGTGTGTGCCAGCGATGATCCCACCAAGCTCCATGCCGTCTTGGTATTCGTCTTCATCATCTGTGGAGCTCAAAATATCAACGTTGCTGAGGCTCTTCCCACCAGTATGCCTGCCAAGATAGCTCTGGCGACTGTCGTGGCTGGGTCTCGACTGGCGCGCCCCTAGGCTCTTCTTGTGAGTCAAAGGCTCTCTAGCAGGCAGAGAAGCAAAGTTGAGGCTGCGCTTGCGAACAACAGGGCGGATGGGGCTTGAGCCCTCGGAAGGCGACCGTGCTTCGTCCGCATTGGGGCTGTGGTTTTCTGATGGAGCGTCCGACATGGGCTCATCAAAGTTTTTGGCAGGCGACGTCTTGAGCGGCGAGGATTTCTTGGGAGATGAGGAGTGCGCAAATCGCGAGGGGGGCGAGATGACGGGATATGTCGAGGTCTGTTTCGCCGGGCTTCGCGCTGGGGAAGGATTGGGAACGGGTGAGGCCATCTTTTGCGTGACATCCTTGAGTACTCGGGTCGTTTGCTCCTCGCGTGCTGTCTGGAACGTCATGGTGGGCGATTGCATCGTCTTGGTGACGGTCGGGCTTTCGTGTGTCGAGGGTTCATCGACGTGGAACGCGACGTCTTCGTTCGTGTCGGCTTCTCGAACAGGGCTGAAAGGCTGTGTAGACTGCGTCGCGTGAACGTGATGGTCAACATCCATCACGTCCTGAGACTGGCTCCCATAATAGCCAGAGTCCGTCGGAAGTGCTGCATTCTTAGTAGGTTGAGGCCGCATCGACGGCAGAGGTCTCAAGGGGGACGCGGTCTTGTTGGCGAGCGGCGACCTGGAGCTTGAAGCCTGTAACCTCGGCGACTGCAGGCGACCCAGCTGCTGCGTGAACGGTGTCGGCGCTCCCTTCGACGCGGAGGAGAAGATATCTGACAGAGGCTGCAACACAGTCAGCATACAAAGAAGTCATGGTGTTTGACATGGCTATTGATGCTTACAACGCGAGGTTCTCCCGTGATGACTTTTCTCGCGGTCCGAGGCGTTTTGCCCCGAAGCTTTCCGGGCGTCTTGAACATTTCGGCAACGTTACTGAGTAGTGGCATATTCGTTAGTCTTGTTGATGATGCTAGAGAACCCGGGGATGAAGCGTGACATACATGGCATTTTCATTGAAGACGTCGGCCATGTGCTCGTTCAACCAGTCGAACTCGTTACGGACGGAGTAGGAGAACTCTTCAGTCTCGGTCTTGACAATATCTTCCGCAGAAGATCGTTCGCCTGCGATCCACGTCGCCGAACCGACGGGAACGCGCGCTCCACGCATGGCGGCCATGATGAACAAAGGGCTTCCGAGCGGCTAGCGCTGAGGTATCGCTATGAAATGGCGGAAAGAGAAGCGATCATCGAGCGTGGTGGATGGAAGTAGGTTTGGTATAAAGTAGCCGTATGTTGATGGAGGGCGAGTGCAAGAGCTCCAATGTCGAATAGGTAGGTAGGCTGGGGAGTTATGGGTGTTGAGGTTGTTGGCGCGTGGGCCCGCATCCAAGCTATGTCACTTTGGACCGGCATTCGCTTTGTTTTGGTCAAGAGCGAATCGGGACTAGCGTGTTGTGGTGCTCCCTTGAGATCCAATGTGTGTGTGTGTATGCGTGTATGCGTGTATGCGTGCGTGTGGGCGACACTCGATCGCGCTTGTGGGGGAAGCGAGCTTCACGTGACGCGACCTCCGTCCCCCCCCCCCTCTGCAAAGCCACCTCAGTGAAGTCCATTCATCGCGGGGCGCTTGGTTCAGGGTCAGGCTGATAAGCCCCTTATCGCACCCGGTCGCATTTGTTTACTTTCGTCGCGACCAAGTCATCGCTTTTGCCGTGCCATGCCCAACCCACACCGAGCGGAACCCGACAAACGAACAACGACAGCATGAGGGTAATCGAGGTTATCATAGACGTATGTTGAATTGTTGCTTCTCTTTCTATGCGCGCGCTGGTATTGACATTGTGCAGGGCTTCAAGTCGTACGCCGTCCGGACGGTCATTTCAGGATGGTGAGTAAACAAACGGTCAGGAGTGGCCGGAAGCCGTGACCCGGCGCTGATACGACGTAGGGATGAGAGCTTCAACTCAATCACCGGTCTCAATGGGTCCGGCAAGTCCAATATCCTTGACGCAATCTGCTTCGTCCTCGGCATCACGAACATGACGACAGTGCGAGCCCAGAATCTCCAGGTATGCTCTTGCTCGCCGATGCCACCCAGCCCAGCCAGGCGCTGACCCCGCGGATCAGGACCTCATCTACAAGCGTGGCCAAGCTGGTGTCACGAAAGCGAGCGTCACCATCGTCTTCGACAACAGAGACAAGAAGAAGTCGCCGATCGGTTTCGAGGAGTATGCGACCATCAGCGTCACCCGACAGATCGTCCTCGGCGGAACCTCCAAGTACCTGATCAACGGGCATAGGGCGCAGCAGCAGACGGTACAGAACCTTTTCCAGTCGGTGCAACTGAACATCAACAACCCCAACTTTCTCATCATGCAGGGACGCATCACCAAAGTCCTCAACATGAAGCCTGTCGAGATCCTCTCCATGATCGAGGAAGCCGCCGGCACACGCATGTTTGAGGACCGACGAGACAAGGCGTTCAAGACCATGGCAAAGAAGGACATGAAGCTGCAGGAGATCACGGAGCTGCTGCGCGACGAGATTGAGCCCAAGCTCGAGAAGCTGAGAACCGAAAAGCGCGCATTCCTCGACTTCCAACAAACCCAGAACGACATGGAGCGCCTCACCAGAGTCGTCGTCGCCCACGACTATGTGAGGTGTCAGGAGAAGCTGCAACAGTCGGCGGCAGATCTGGACGGCAAGAAGCAAAGGCAGAAGGACCTCGAACAATCGGCTGTCCGCCTCAAGAGCGAAATCTCGCATCTAGAGGAGGATGTGCAGAGGGTCCGGGCCCAGCGCGACAAGGAGCTCAAGAAGGGGGGCAAGGCGCAAGGCCTGGAGGATCTGGTCAAGAAGCACTCGAACGAGCTGGTGCGCCTTGCCACCGTCATGGACCTGAAACAGTCCAGTCTCAACGAGGAGGCTGAGAAGAAGGTCGCTGTCGAGACAACCGTGACCGAGCTCGAGACGGCTCTGCAGGAGAAGACAAAGGCGTACGAAGCCATCAAGGCAAAGTACGATGCTGCCAAGGACGAAGTTGAGGCGCAGGGCCGGGAGGCAGACTCCAAGGAGGAACTGCTGCAGACGTTACAGACTGGTGTCGCGTCCAAAGCCGGCCAGGAAGGTGGTTATCAGGGCCAGCTGCAGGACGCCAGGAATCGCGCAACGACGGCGGCGACCGAGCAGGAGCAAGCCAAGATGAAAATTGCCCACCTCGAGAAGCGAATCAAGGAAGAGGAGCCTCGTGCGAAAAAAGCCAAGGAACAGAACGCAGGCCTTCTCAACGACCTGGAGGACCTCAAAGTCCAGCAGCAGAGACTTGAAAAGGAGCTTGGCAAGCTCGGCTTCCAACCTGGCCAAGAGGAGGAGATGTACCAGCAGCAGTCTGGTCTTCAACAACGGATCCGTACGCTGCGTCAAGAGTCGGATGCACTGAAGAGAAAGGTTGCCAACATCGACTTCAACTACCACGACCCAGTGCCCAATTTCGATCGATCCAAGGTCAAGGGACTTGTTGCGCAGCTATTCACCCTCGATAAGGATCACACAGAAGCCGGGACTGCGCTCGAGATCTGCGCTGGAGGCCGCCTTTACAACGTCGTGGTAGACTCTGAAGTGACCGGCACACAGCTTCTGAAGGGCGGCAAGCTTCGCAAGCGAGTCACCATCATTCCCCTCAACAAGATTGCGGCTTTCAAAGCTTCAGCTCAGACGATTGCTACAGCGCAGAAGATTGCGCCCGGCAAGGTCGATCTGGCTTTGTCTCTTGTTGGCTACGATGACGAAGTGTCGTCGGCCATGGAGTATGTGTTTGGCAACACGCTTGTATGTGCCGACGCAGAGACAGCCAAGAAGGTCACGTTTGACCCGAATGTCAGGATGAGGAGCATCACGCTTGAGGGCGATGCCTACGATCCCTCGGGTACACTGTCTGGCGGCAGCTCACCCAACTCAAGCGGAGTGCTGGTCACTTTGCAAAAGCTGAACGAGCTCACCCGACAGCTGAAGGAGGCCGAGTCGACGCTGACGAACCTTCAAGTGACCATTTCACGAGAGAAGTCCAAACTCGACCACGCCCGCAAGATCAAGCAGGAGCTGGACCTCAAGAGCCACGAGATCAAGCTCGCCGAGGAGCAGATTGCTAGCAACTCGTCCTCTTCTATCATTCAGGAGGTTGCCAACATGAAGGAGACCATCATCCAACTGAAGAACGACATGGCGGACGCAAAGAAGCGACATGCCGAGGCCCTCGCCGACGAAAAGAGGATAAACAAGGACATGCAAGACTTCGACAGCAACAAGGACGCCAAGTTGATCGAGCTGCAGAAAGCCCTGGATAAGCTGCGGGCGACGCTGAGCAAGAGTGCTGCTTCGGTCAAGACGGTGCAGAAGGAGCTCCAGGGCGCGCAGCTCGACTCGGAGCAAGTGGCTGGGGATCTGTCTGGCGCCCGCGAACAGCTGCAGGAGGTCGAGGTCGCCATCAAGGCGCAGCAGCAAGATATCGAGGGCCTCGTCCAGCAACAGGCCGAGCTCAAGGACACGCATGATGCGGTGCAGGCCGAGCTGGACGATGAGCGGGCAAAGCTGCACGGATTCGACGACGAGCTCCGTGCGCTGGAGGAAGCCACGCGGTCCAAAAACGCGCGCGTCGCGGAAGAGGGTCTCGAGATGCAGACGCTCGGTCACCAGGTGGAAAAGTTCCACAAGGAGCAGCAGTCGGCGTTGCAGACGGTCGCGTACATGGAGAAGGACCACGACTGGATCGCGGACGAGAAGGACAACTTTGGCCGCTCCGGCACGCCGTACGACTTCAAGGGCCAGAACATCAGCGAGTGCAAGGCCACGCTGCGGAACCTGACGGACCGCTTCCAGGGCATGAAGAAGAAGATCAACCCCAAGGTCATGAACATGATCGACAGCGTGGAGAAGAAGGAGGTTTCGCTCAAGCACATGATGAAGACGGTCATCCGCGACAAGCGCAAGATTGAGGAGACCATTCTCAGCCTGGACGACTACAAGAAGAAGGCTCTGCACGAGACGTGGGTCAAGGTCAACGGCGACTTTGGCCAGATCTTCAACGAGCTGCTGCCAGGAAGTTTCGCCAAGCTGGACCCGCCTGAGGGCAAAACGATCAGCGACGGCCTCGAGGTGAAGGTGTCTCTGGGCAAGGTCTGGAAGCAGAGCCTGACGGAGCTGTCTGGTGGCCAAAGGTGAGCCCGCCATCAAACTTGCAACCCCCTCATACAGCATGCAATGACTAACAGCCACAGGTCTCTCATTGCTCTTTCGCTCATCATGGCCCTTTTGCAATTCAAGCCTGCGCCCATGTACATTCTCGACGAGGTCGATGCGGCGTTGGATCTTTCCCACACGCAAAACATTGGCCGGCTCATCAAGACGCGGTTCAAGGGGTCACAGTTCATCGTCGTCAGTCTCAAGGACGGCATGTTCCAGAACGCCAACCGCATCTTCCGCACGCGCTTCAGCGAGGGTACGAGTATGGTGCAGGCGTTGACGCCGGCGGACTTGAAATGACCATGATGCTCGTACACGGCAAGATGACGATGAAGATGGGTATTTGTACTTGTGTGGCTGCATGTCAACGGGATTTGGGCTGGGCTTGAGCAGGGGTTGGTTGGATACCAGGTGGGACGGGCTGTAATGACTTGCACATGACTTGATTTTGCAGGACAAGTACGACTGGGCTGGCTGAGCTGGCGAAAGTTTCTTTGTTTCAAGATATCATTGCTTGCTTCTCTGAATTGGTTGCGGTGGTGCTCTATGCCTGTTGAATACTCCGTACGCGTGACGCTCAGAACCCGATCATGTCGCTTCCTTTGACAAACGAGAGGGCTTGCACCTCTCACTGCTTGATGTACACGTGCTCACCCCGGGACTGTACATCTATCGTCATGCCGACCTCGAGCCAGCTTCGCAAATCCTCCGTCTCGCACGCTTCAGCGTCCTCGAAGAGCGGGCACATCTGCACGCCCAAGCATCCCATCTTGGGCGCTCCGGGGTCGACGTCGCGAATTTTGCGCAGCGAGCGGTCGGGCTCGACGCGGTGGCGGATGCCCGTGGCAGGGTCGACGTTGGGGAGTTTGCAGCGGACGGTGCGGCACGAGACTTGAAAGCTGGCGTCCGAGGTCAAGGTGGATGTGCCAGGGGTGAAGCGGATGGATTTCCAAGATTCCTCATCGTAAGCAGGAGCGCCCGTCACTTGGTGCAGACAGAGGTCAGCGGTGTGAGGTGCAGCCCGTTGAAAGGAACAACATACCGATCAGGTTCGAGCGGAACCGTCTGACGTCCAGATGCTTGAGGTCCCCATCTTTGGGCACCTGAGAGTCGAAATCTTGCAGGCTGCCGAGGTTCATCAAGTGTAAGGGGTACTAGATATTCGTCAGTCTCATCCTCGAATGATCGCGAGCCCGACAACGTACCGCATCCTGGAAGCCCACGGTGGGTTGGTAGCCAATCTCTTCCTTGCGCGGCGCACAGCGGAACACCTGCCGCAGCGCCAGAGGATCAATCCTGAAGAGGCCGAGCTTGTTGCTCACGCCCAGGTATGACCTGAGTTCCTCGGGCACATCGACGCCCACGTTCAGCGCCGTGACAACGTCCTTCCAGATCTTGACCTTCTCGAATTCGTACCCCCTCTGCTCGATTTCGGCCTTGGTGGGGAACTCGACGGGCAGCAAGAACTCCCTCTCGGCCTCGGCGTACCAGCCCCTCACAAGCTTGGCAGCGATGGTCTGCAACACGCCCCTGATGCCGAGATCCCTCCACGGGAAGCGCATGACGATCCACGACCCGGTGTCTTTGTCAGCCCGCGAGCCATTTTCGCCGCGCGGCACGTACAGGTCGACCTTGACATTGGCGAGGCGGGCAAACTGCCGCTGCGTGATGAACTCCCAGACGTGGCCGTCCTCCTTCTCCGCCGCATTGGCGGTCGAGGACACGGGGAAGGGCGACTTGAGCTGTGCAAAGGTGTAGAGGCGGTCGAATTCGAGACCCGTGGGCAGCACGCGGGAGCGCGTGAGCTCGATACCGCGGCACGACTTGACGGGGTAGATGGTCAGGGCTTGCAGCTTCGCCGAGGCACCGGGCGTGACGGCGGCGGCGGCAGGCCGATTGTGGGCGCGAAGATTGCTCTCGGCGCGGCCGAGGCCGAGGCGGTCGTGTGTCTGCTGTAAGGCGTCGGCCTTGGTGGCGGGAACGGGGGGAAAGAGGTAGATGATGGGGAGCAGGAAGCCTAGGAGCGTGACGAGTGGGAGAAAGAAGAAGGCGGCATCAAAGTCGAGCAGAGCAGAGAGGCCAGCCGTTGAGTCGGCACTCGGTGATGGTCTATGTGCCTCCATGTTGATGATCTGATCTGTCTCGGAATTTCCTTGCTATGATTTGGCGGAGGACGTCAAGATGGATGCGAATGTAGATACGTGAGTGAGTCAGCAGCTTAGATGAGTAGCTCTCAATTTCGAGTAGCACAACGAGGTGTCTTCCTGCTCTCCTAGTCGAATATTCAGGCACTTGATCAGACAGACCAGTCGTGTCACAGGACTTTTGGTATTCCTGATTCTTTCCAGCAGAATCGGGCTTTGGTGCCGAAGGTTCTTGTGTTGATAGCTTCAATTGATAGCTTGGGTCGGGAGCGATTGCCTGATACTTCCAGTCACCAATCGGAGTCACTCCCTCGGATCAATCCAATGTGCTTGATGTCGAGTCTGCTTATGTCATCCATATGTGGTACGTCCTCACTTGTCAGCCGTCCACCTTCACGACATGTTAGTCACCTGACCTGACGATGGAATCGAATTCGATACACACAGAGGAGGGAGAGCTTCGTCGGCAATTCCCTGGCGACCAACGAGCACCTTGGCCGCACCAACATGTGCTCAGCCCCGGACGCCGGACGCCTGAGACGGCATCGGCGTTGTGTGCTCTGATGCATGATCTTGCGCAGAAACTCAAATTCCTTGAATTGAAATGAAGTCCCGGTTCGTGCTTGCTGTGATGTGTCAGCAAACATGGCGAATGTACCGATTCTCACGGCAGTCCGGCCGTTCCTGACCAACATTGCGCAACAATTGGTCCTGCACAGAGTCAGTAACCCCCATGTCTACTATGTAGATGCTAACTGTATGGAGCTGGCTCGTCGTGCAATGGCTCGGTCAAGGAACAGGGGCCGGGGAAACAGAGTTCCGCCCGGATGCAGATTGCCTCCTTTGACACCTGATCGATGTGGAGGTTTCCGTTTTGTAGCACCTGACCAAGCCCCCCCCCCCCGAAAGAGAACCTGGAGCCCGAGTCCGAGCATCGCGATGTCGACAAGCGTGCGGTACGAGAGAAGAGTGTTGACTTGACTCGAAGATACGACGGTCTTGTTCCCGTCCTCCTTCTCCATCCTTCTCAAAACGGTCGCAATTTTCGATGGGATACAGTACGGCCCCGTGGTCACAAGTGGCGTCCGATGCAACTCCACAAACAAATGTCTCGTTCTGGATGCTCTGAGCTCTCCTCAACCGGCCACCATGTCTGTCCGCGCACGATGCACCCAAGCTCGTTAGCCACAGCATCGCATTAACTTCTGGCGTGGATGATACGCCATCGTACTGTGAACACAGAGAGGCCTCGTTGATGCTGCCTGCAGACGATGAGTACCACCAGGGGCGGGGGGGGGGGGGGGGGGAGGCCAACAATAGGATGAGGACGAATATTCCACTTTTACATTCCCATACACAGACAACATGCACCTCATCACACTGCACCTGGCCTGCATTGCCGCCGGCGCACTTTCCGATAAAATTATGTTCAACGACCCATCATTAGCACAGTAGTACATGTAGCTAGGACGAGGGATAAGGTCTTATGGCGATCGGAGGCTTTGCTTTGACGCTTGAGCCTACTGTAGCCAGTAGCTCGTTCTTGGTGCTGGACGGGTGCTGGGAGAGCAAGTGGGCGACGGGCAATCTCGGGATGATTAGAACATCGTACACTAGGTAGTTGTCAAAGACGAGAAAAAGGAAAGAACTGCTGTTGGCGGCGGTAGTGTACCCATGGATTCGAATTCGAAGCCGTAGAATCGCTGTGGCTGACCCAGAGCCGGCCAGCGGCATTATTAGCCGTGCACTGGAACAGTCGAAAAAAAAAAGCCAGCGGTGCGCTTCATGGTCACGTTCTCCGCGACGAACTGCGCTCCCCTCCTTCTTCGTCGTCGTCGTCGTCGCCATCCTGGGCAAAGTAAACAGCTCTCACCACACATGACACTAGCCGTGTACGTGCTCCACTGCGGAATTCTAGTGGTTGTGGCACCCCAGGAGCCAGCCGGCTTGATTCGCATCCGAGCATCGGCGGGCCATGTTGCCGGGTACCTGTCTGGAAGAGTGGGTGAGTGTTGTTTGAGCTAGGTACCTAGGCAAAGTGTCGTCGTTTCGTCAAACGTGGAGGCGTCGTGATCTGTAGCCATGGGGAATGTTACGCTTCTCGGCGCATCGGTCAAAGGTAAATAAGCCAGAGACGGACTAGCCGAGAAGGCTGCGGAGAGTCAGATTACCTAGGCATCCATCTAGCTACATGGTACAGTGGATGATTAGGTAGCTCACGTATAGACGGAGGGGTGACCACACACTACGACGTAGCTGAATACCAATGGTGCGTAGGTATCGCGCTTCCCGGGCCGCCATCTTAGGGCCGCACGCACGGCAGCATCGCGCGACCTCCCAGCGCCCTGTCATGGCCTTCCCGTTCTGTGCGACAGCTGTCGATCAGAAGGCAGCTTGGTGGATGGACAGAGGACAGGGTTGTGCGGCCGCAACCTGCTGGATCGATCAATCAAGACTCGAGAAGAGGCAGACTAGGGCTGCGGATCCCTGGCCGCGTGCTCAGGCAGAAGGCCTGAGAAGACAAGGGAGATCTCCAGAGAGGGGGTCGAAAGAACCAGAACGGTGACGGCGAACGGGGACGACCAATATTGGTAGGCTGCTTGGCGATCGCGCAAGAAGTGGTTGAATCCTTCCCGGCATCCCAGGAGGTCGTGCTCACAAAGCTGCTGCGCCTGGCACCTGCGAAGCACGTTACTCGTGGCAAAAAGACCGAGAATTAACGCGTGTGAAGTGACGGCAGCATTGTACAGATCAGCCGGGCCGCCATGGTGGTTTCTGGGATCATTGGGCCGCTGTTGGTCCGAGCATCTGGAGTTTCTGGAATGCGGCCGCGTGCTTCGCTCGGTACAATGACCCATTGCAACGGCACGAATCCTGGACACTTCGGCGAAGCCGCTTGGGTACAGCAGGAGGCAGGTAAGTATGCGCAGTATGCGCAGTTGAGAGGGGTCTACTGTGCACACGGCGCGTACATGTACGACGTCTGGACGGCACATGAAGAACAACAGGGTCTGCCATCCTTCAGTTTGGGTCTACCAACAACTTGACCCGACGTCCGTGGGTCAATGCGAGTGCCGGCCGATGTGTGACAGTTTGGGCTGGCCGCCAGAAGAAATAACATCCACTGCCTGACAGGTGATGTGGAAATAAGAGGAGGGCACTAGACGTTAGTCTGGCAGGAGGTAAATGCTGCTCCTTGCCAGATCCATCCCTAGCTTGGGCGGTAGCCCGGTGGTCTGCCCTGCTGCTGGGTTGTGAGTTGTGATGATGCTGTCGTTGGCGAGGGTCTTGAGTCAAGGCAGGTCATGGTCATAAGGTACCTACGTACAGGAGAACAGCACGAGGTCTGATGCCGAAGGTGCTGGCGGGGGGAACTAGGGAGAGAGGGAAAGATGTGACAAGTGGAGAAAGGGGCTGAACAGACTTGGGTTAGCAGCACAGTTGGCAGATGGGCTAAAAATAAGAAGCAGTTGCTTGTCTGCATCACGAGCAACCTGGAACTCACAGAGCAAGGGGTCGAAGTATCGGGCGAGAAGACGCGTACATGTATGTTTCCTTCGGCTTCCAGGTTTCCCAGGCACGTACGTCATAGATGCTCGCAACTGAGGATTGAAGCCACTCTCAACTGTCGACACCTAACGAACGAATGCTCGTCTTACCTGTGTTCACTTGCCTACCATGTGCCTGCCCAGGTACTATGTAGGTACCGTACACTTGCGTACCTACCTAGGTACCTCAGATGCCGAAGAGAGCCACCCCAGGATACAAAGCATCATACGACTTTCATCCCAGACTGGTAAAGCCAGCGTGTAAAGTAGGCTCCTAGACAAGGCAGGCCAGAGAGGGAGAGCGAGAGAACTACTGTATCAGTACGTAGAGAGGGACCGGGACGGCAGGAAGTGTCACTCGTTAGCCCGACAGCCCGGCCAAGCACAATAAGGACATCCTAACAAAGTCCCACAAGCATCCCAGCTTGAGACTAACTACCTGGGCCCTCGTGCAAGCACTTGGGCATGCACCTACCTAGGTAAGGTGCCTAGGAACCCAAGTGGAAAGGCACTTTAGGTCGAAAAAAAAAAGCCTCCAGTTCCCAGTGCCCAGTTCCAGGGGCGTGTCTTGTAATGTATCCGGCATCTGTCCCCGTCATCCAATGTTGGCACCAGCTGGGTGTCGTGCGCCTGTGCCAACCCTCTAAGCACGGAGCGTGTCTCCACCCTGCACGGAGCGGCGCCATCAGGTCATGGATATGTACGACGAAAGGTTGTTGGGTGGATTGGGGACTGGGGACTGGGGACTGTGCCCTGACCAAGCAACACTTGCCGCTGCAGGATACTTGTACAAGGCAAGTGCCATACTGAACTGTGTGGTGCTGTAACAAGGTACGGTACCTACCTATTTACCTACCTAGGCAAGGTATGGTAGGCACGACCCGGGACACGACCACTGCCTTCCTCACCTACCGGCCTCCTGGTGAGGCGCTCCTTCCTTACAACAACAGATTCGCTGGGGGGCGGCTTCATCGAAAGAAAAAGGCAGGAAGGTCCCACGCGATGGACGGGGGCTCAGGGTGCACGCATCCCGGTCGCTACAT